CCTCCAGTATATCCGTGTACTGCAGCCCACTTTCCAAGACACCTCCAGTGATGAGATGAGACTCCCTCCGACCAGCTCCTCGCCCCCACCAAGCAAATCCAGCTCATAAGCACTATTCACTCCCTCATTACCTGTCGTCCAGTAAGCCCGTGTACAGCAGCCCATCCTCCAAGACAGTTCCAAATATGAGGCTCCCCCCTCCCAGCTCCTCCCCTCCCAGGCAGTGTGCAAACACCCCATTGGTCTTCCTGGCGGCCTGCATCTGCGTCAGCATGGACAGCGACCCCATGTTGAGCCCCATCACCCCGTCCACCAGGTGACTTCCGGATACCAGGTTACCAGACTGCTTGAAGCCGCACCTGGTGAGGCGAGAGGAGAGGAGAGAAGGGGAGAGGGAGAACGAAGGAGAGGGGAAAGGGAGGGATAGCCCATGATCAGCCACCCCCATCACCCCGTTGGTCTTCCTGGCGGCATGCATCTGCGTCAGCATGGACAGCGACCCCATGTTGAGCCCCATCACCCCGTCCACCAGGTGGTTGCCCGTTACCAGGTTACCGGATTGTTTGAAGCCGCACCTGGTGAAGGAGAGAAGGGGGAGGGGAGAGGGGAGAGGGGAGAGGGGAGAGGGGAGAGGGGAGAGGGGAGAGGGGAGAGGGGAATGCACCACAGGAGAGAGTTACTAAGATAGAGACCCATTCTCAGGCAAGAGACGCCCTGAGCCCTGACACCTGACACCCCGGCATCCCTTCCCTCCCCTCCCCTCCCCTCCACTGCACTCCCCTCCCCTCCCCTCCATTCCCTTCCCTCCCCTCCCCTCCACTCCCCTCCCTCCCCTCCCCTCCACTCCCCTCCCCTCCCCCCTCCACTCCCCTCCCTCCCCTCCCCTCCACTGCACTCCCCTCCCCTCCCCTCCACTCCATTCCCCTTCCCTCCCCTCCCCTCCCCTCCACTCCACTCCCCTCCACTCCCTTCCCCTCCACTGCACTCCCCTCCCCTCCCCTCCACTCCATTCCCCTTCCCTCCCTCCCCTCCCCTCCCCTCCACTCCCCTCCCCTCCACTCCCCTCCCCTCCCCCTCTCACTCACCCGAAGGTATAGTCCATAGTAGCAGCATCCCCCCCGAGAGTAGCAAACGTGAGCCTGTCCTTGACGAGGTAGCCCGTGCTGGTGGAGTTGTCGGCGTACTGGATGCTGTAGTAGCACCGCGGGTCCTGCCACCTCACCTGGGGATCAGGCTGACTGGCCACACCACTCCCTGCCTCTTTTCCCCTCCCCTCCCCTCCCCTCCCCTCCCCCTCCCACTCACCCGAACGTGTAGTCCATAGTAGCAGCTTCCCCTCCGAGGGTAGCGAAGGTCAATCTGTCCTTCACGAGGTAGCCCGTGCTGGTGGAGTTGTCGGCGTACTGGATGCCGTAGTAGCACCGCGGGTCCGGGGAGTTGGGGTACAGAATGTCCAGGCACCCCTGGCCCAGCGTGCGCCTGGTTTGCTGCAGGGCCGAGCAGGTGGTGGTGGTGCAGTCGATCACCTGGGCAGTCGGGAAAGAGAGGCATGAGGAGGGTAAGCAGGAAAATGGTGTCGTTATAGCTGCGAGCTCGTCGACAGAAGCGCGTGCTTCAGAAGGACGTAAGTGCAGTTGCAGTCATAAAGACGCACTTGAGACGTGCAAAACCCATCCGTTACGAAAAACAATCATCTCCACAAGACTCCCACCCACCCACTGTCCACCCAACTGACCTGTCCTGTTGACGACTTGGAGATATCGTAAGGAACAGCAAGGACCTGCAGGAGAAGAGAAGAGGGGGGGGGTCTTGAGCATGCGACACGACGAGACAAACAAGGACGGCTTATAAAGGGGACATGTTGTAGAGGCCCGCGGCGATGATAGCGATACAACCAAAGGCTGAAAGGTGCTGGACTTGTTTTAAAAAAAAGCAAAGAAAACAAAATAACAAGCTTCCTTGACATCGCTCCCACATTCCTCACCAAACCCCACTTTCCCCTTCTCCTCCACCTTTAACTCTTGTTTCTCCCTTAACAACCCCGCCCCAGCCTCCCCACCTCATCCCACCCCACCCCCACCCCATCCCTACCCCTCACCCCCATCAGGTAGTAAAAAAAAGAGGCACGTACCCTGGTGGAGGAGACCCGGCAGGAAGGCCGGTTCCCCTTCCCTGTTTACCTTGCCCTCCCTCACCCCGCTTACAGAAAAGGACAAGGCACGTACCATAGAGGAGGACACTGGGCAGGCGAGGCAGGTTCCCCTTTCCCCCTCCCCCTTTTTCTCCCTCACGGCCCAATATACAAAAGGACAGGGCACGTACCATAGAGGAGGACACTGGGCAGGCGAGGCAGGTTCCCCCTCACCCCTCCCTTTCCCCTCCGTTTTTCCCACCCCACTCCCTCCCTCACGCCCCTGTGTCTTTTTGCACGGGCTGCCCCTCTGCCCCCCACTCTCACCCCCACCCCTCTCCTTCGTCCTTCGTCTCCTTCCCTCCCCTCCCCCCCTCCCCCTCCCAATCTCCCCCCCAACCCACCCCCCCCCTTCCCCTCCCCCACTCCCCCTTCCCCCACCTCTCCCCCCATCTCTTCCCCCACCTCTCCCCCATCTCTTCCCCCACCTCTCCCCCCATCTCTTCCCCCCACCTCTCCCCCCATCTCTTCCCCCCACCTCTCTCCCCCCCTCCCGCTTCCCACTTCAACCCCAGATGAAAAGCAAAACGTACCACAGTGGAGCCGACAGGGCAGGCGAGGCAGGGGCGCGCAGGTGACCCACATCACGTCGCTGCCCGTGTCTATCTGCACCTTAAACTTTTGCACGGGCTGCCCGAGCTGCACCTCCGCCCAATAGAGGCTGGGGGTAGGGAACGGCGGGCAGGAAGGGTTCAGTGTAAGTCCAATCAGGGTTGGCGCGTATAACGAGGATGAAATGGGGAGGCGGGGGGAGGTTGACAGGGAGAAGAATGAGGGAGAGTGCGAGGTCACAGCAATAGTACTCCTCAATCAACACAAGCGCATGCTAATTCTGGTAACGAGGTGCTGTATAACGCATCCCTTGCCATGCATGGGTTCTGAAAAGTGCACGAGTCAACAGAAATTCCCACATGTGCTCTTGTCAGTGTCATCCCCAATCATACACGCCCCCCCTACAGTCACCACTGCCGTACTACCCCGCTATAGTCACCTCGGGTAGCACCTACCCTGCTATAGTCATCTCCATATTGCCTCCTAGTTGGTAGAACGCCCCGCCTCCCACTTCAGTCACCGTTCCTTCCGCCAGCGATCCGTTCCCCGCGCTTGCTCCGATCGTCCAATCCCCTGTTCCCGCCCTAACCGCGCCGCTTCCCGCGCTGGTTTTTGCGGAGGGAGAGTTTTGCTGGAGACGGAGGAGCCGGCGGCGATCGTGTAGCTTTAGCAGCCGAGCGTGATTCGCGGTCATGACGCCACGTGGCCGGCCGTGCCGCGCGTGGAAGGAGCTTTCGGGGAGATGCGCGTAGGAGTGGGTGACGGGGAGGACTACGAGCGAGGATGACCCATCGGACGGCTGAGATTCGACGAGCGAGCGGAGAGATCGAACAGGTTTAGAACCGAGTTTAGAACCAGGTCTTGTAGCGGGATTGGTGGCGCTTGTAATGGGTATGGAAGTTTTAACAGCTTGGGATTGACATGGTAGTAGGATTCCTAGGAGAGCGGCGAGAAGAAGTAACGCTAGCGGGAACTGACGGGATACCGATGAAGGTTGAAAGGGTTGTTTAAACTGCGAATCATGCCTCATATCCTCGCGGAAACGGCAGCGTCGAAGCTTGGTTCTATGGTCGAAAACCATGGCGGTTCCTACAATAGGTGCACTTGGAGAGTCAGCAGGTCTAAGGTGGACTAGGAGCCTCTCCCCAGCTCGACTAGGAGTCGTATTTCGCCTGCTATGGTGTCAAGGTTTAGGGCGCTGCGACAACTCCCGTGTCACTTAGGAGTCACAGGAGCATTGTAACGACATTTCCATGTGCCAGAACGTCGCGTGTCAGCGAGGGATGTAACGGGTCCCGCTTCTTAGAGGCCTACTCCCGCGAGTTCACGCCAGCTGTAACGGGTCAAACGAGGCGATAGAAACAACGACCAAAGTTAGAGCTGATGGGGGGGTGGGGGAAGCCCAAAAGCAGCAGTACAGTTCAGGCGCATCCAATATCCTTATGTGTTGCGTGAGCTGATCAATACAGAAGCCCTTCGGATGGTTCCGGTGGAGAGGGGAGGAGAGAAGAGCTTCATAGGTTTGACTCACAGTACTGCGGAGGCATGGGAAAAAAATGTTGCGAGGAATGGAGACATGTGGATGGAGTGTCTAGGTAGGAACTGAGTCAGTTCCCCGAGGACAGGACGCAGGGAACGACAGTCCCAAGGGATGAATGGATGGAGCTGTGATCACGGGGGTTCTCCGTTCATCTGCTTCTGTCAGTTGGGTGAAGAGAGGGGATGAGGGAACACAGGTAGAGTGAACACAGTTGACCTGACTTGGCTCATGGGATGAGGAAGGGCAGAAAATATGTATTATTCAAAGCCAGTCCTCCTAAGATGTGACATAAAGAGACCCAAGTGTTCGAGACAACCAGACGTAAATACCCCAGAAACAGAAACTCTGCGGTCAGAAAAGAATACCACCCCTAGAGCGGTCATAAGTTCAAAATTCGGTTGACGTGAGGCAAATTCGCCCAGCCGTGTTCATTTGGGCCAAGAGGATTTTGTCGACTGGACCTACGACTTTCGCCGTCGGTTTCTGCGAAAGAGCTTCTGCGAGACGCGGGCGCGTCGCGAGAGGGGAGGCGCTTTCAAGAGTCCATTAGGCGCGTGGCCACCTTTTATTGGCGGAAGCTTACAGGCGGTTCGAGGAGGGTGGACCCGAACCACTGTAACGAGGTGGCACTCATGGCTCCCTGCTGACCGTGAGCTCACCGACGCAGATTGCTCCACAACGACCACCGATAAAGACGAATTAAGATTAGGATAGTGGTACAGATGTAGTTACACAAAGCGGTTCAGCAAAACAACCAGTTCTGCCTAATGGTCTCATGAAGATCTTTTGAAGAATCACCCTCACTACCTACTTCCCTAGCAGTCTTGCATATTCACATGGCGGAATCAAAGCAGCAGAACTCTATCACACCCTTAACATCTAGTTTTGAGGCGCCTCAAAACAGAACTCTATCACATACCCTTAACATATTTCCACTACCGTGCTCGCCTCCACATGCTTCATGTACTCTGTTGTGCTTGGGTGCCTCCTGGGTTACCACTACTCACTCGCCTTCCAAGTTCCAACTGGCATCGAACATGCCACACATTCATCAAGCTCCCATTCCTTTTTAATGAGCCCCTACCCCATGACCTCCTTTCTCTTGCTCACTCGTCCCCATTCCCACTTTTTCACATCTCCTGCACTCGTCCCCTTGCAGATGCACTGCAATTATCTGTTGTTCCTCGTTGCCCTTTCTTACCCAAGCTAGGCTAGTACTACCATCCATTACTGCACCAACCGAATACCCACATGGATGGAGGCTACAAGCTCATGGCAAGCATAGCTTCATCCTCTACTCGTCCCTTCTTCTCACCTCCCTCCTCCACTTTGGCCGCTCCCCCTTTCTCTTGTTGTACTGCTGCGACCGCTGCTGCTGCTGCCGCTGCTGCGGCCGAAGTGCCTGCTTCCTCCCTAGACCTGCTGCCTGCTGCGGCTCTTCTCTTCCTCCTTCCCCGTCTCATCTTCCTTCCCCTTTATCAACTTCCCCCTCCTCATCTTCCCTCCGCTTCACTGCCTTACCACCCTCTCTCGCTTCCCCCAAATCCAACTTCCCTCTCTTTCTTTCCCCAGCCTCAAGTTTCCCCAAGTCTAGTGCAGCTTGTGCCCCATCAGAAGCACCGCTGGGACCACACTCTCTTGAGTCACCCTTGATAGAGTCACACTGCATTGTGCCACCGCCCTCTCGCTGTCTATTGTCCTCTGGAGAACCACCATGCCCGTCCCCACCCACATTAGCTACTCTATCAGTAGCCACAGCAGCAACAGCAGCAGCACCACCACCATCAGTGCCACCAGCAGCAGAACCAGCAGCACCAGGAATGGCACCACCACCACCATCACCACCAACAGCAGCACAATCACCAGGAGCAGCGGCAGGAGCAGCAGCATGAGCATGTCTATCACCCTTCCCTGCCACTTCAACCTCATATAGACCAGCACACTCGCTCAAACCCTCCGTTCCTTCAGCTCCCTGCGAGCGCCCCTCCAAACCCTTCCCTCCACTCCCTGCACTACCAGGCACGGACGTCGACTCGACATTCCTCCCTCCTCCGCTGAGCTCTCTCCCTCCCACTTTCTCCGGATTAAGCGTGGGAGCAAACCTCGCCCTCTCTTCCGCCACGTTCTCTTCCGCTTCTTTTCTTGGCGTCTCTTCACCCTCTTTCTCTTCTCCAATAATCCGCCCCTTCTCCACCCCTTCTGTCTCTATCCCGTCAGTCACACCGAGCTCTGCCTTGCTCACATTCTCCAGCGCTGCCTTCTCTATCTCCTTCCCCAGCTCATTCCCAAGCCGGATGTCAATCCCACTTCTTCCCCCCCCCTCTCTCCCGTCAGACCCTACATGCTTCTCCTTCCCCTCTTCCTTTACTATCACTTCCTGCTCCTTTAGGAGCACATCCTTCCCTGGCTTCTCCTCAGACCTGCCCTTCGTCGCATCCCTCCCGTATAATTCCTCCGATTTCCGTGGCCGCTTCCCTACCTCCTCTCTTGCATTCTCTACCACCGCTTCTCCCTCCTCCCTTCTCACCCTGTTCTCATCACCTCCAGCCTCTGCTTTACCCTCTGCCAACTTCTCCCCTTCCTCCTTCTCCCCTTCCTCCCTCTCCCCTTCCTCCTTCTCCCCTTCCTCCTTCTCCCTTTCCTCTTCCGTGCCTCCCACATAGTCTCGCTCGCTTTCCTGGCTCTTCCCGTCCCCTCTTCGCCCTTCGCCTCTCTCCCCTTTCCCCATCTCCTCTTTATCCGCTTCCTTGTTTCCCCTTTCAACTTTAACCCCTTCTTCGTCCTTCCCTTCCTCCTGCTCTTCCTGCCTTACCTCCTGCTCCTTGTTCTCTTCCTCCTGTTCCACTCCCTCACTTTCCTCCTCCTTTCCCCCTCTCTCCGGCTCCGCTTTCTCCCCTTCCTTCCCCTCTTCCCCTTCTCCCAAGAATTCATCAAGTTTCTTTTCTTGACCATCTCCCCCTTTCTCCCCTTCCTCCCCTGCTGTGACTGCATCCTTCCCTTCCCTCATCTCCTGTACTCCTTCTTCCCCTCCCTTCCTCTCCCTCACTCCTCTAAACTCATGAGGTTTCTTCCCCTCACCATCTGCCACCTTCTCTCCTTCCTCTTGCACTGTAACCGCATCCCTCTCGTCCCCTCTCCCCTCTGCCACCTTCTCTCCTTCCTCTTCCACTGTAACTGCATCCCTCTCGTCCCCTCTCCCCTGTTCCTCTTTCTCACCTTCCTCCCCTGCTGTGACTGCATCCTTTTCTCCGCCTCTATTTCTTTCCTCCGTCTCCCTAACCCCTCTCGCTTGCTCCTCTTTCTCACCTTCCTCCCCTGCTGTGACTGCATCCTTCGTGACCTTCTTCATTCCCTCGTCCTTTATTCTCTCAGTCTCCCTCTCCTTCTTCTCCCTTTCTCCTGGCAACCCTTCGTTACTCGTGCCTTCTCGTTTCCGTTCCTCCTCCCCTTCGACCATTCCTCCTCCCTCTTTCTTCACTTCCCCTTTCTCCTCCTCCCCTTTCTCCTTCTCCCTTTTCTCCTTCGCCCTTTTCTCCTTCTCCCCTCTCTCCTTCTCCCCTTTCTCCTCCTCCCCTTCCCCGCTCTTACTTTCCTCTTTCTCCCCTTCCGGGCTACCCCCTTCCACGTTAACCCCTTCCTCTCCCGCCCCCTCCCTTCCCGCCCCTTCTCCATCCTTCTCCTTCAACTCTACTCCATCCCTTCTCTCCCCTTCCTCTTGCCCCACCCCACTTTTCTCATCCCCCTCCTCCTCCCCTCTACCTTCCTGCTTCCCCCTTTCTTCTCTCCCCCTTTCTTCTCTCCCCCCTTCGTCCATTCCTCCCTCGTTCTCTCCTCCCCCCCTCTCCTCACCCTCCTCCCCCTGATCCCTCCACCGCCTCTCCCCGCTCCCCGCCTCATCCGTCCCCCATAAAAGCATCCTCAACGTTCCACTCCCAACTCTCTCTGTATTCAACTCACAAGGTGCCGAAAGACTCATCCCCAACGTATCAATTTCACCTTTCTGCCTCATCAACTCTTGAGCCGCCTCCAGACCCATCCTCCCTAACGTCCCAGTCGCAGCACTCTCTGTATTCAACTCTTGAGGCGCCGCAAGACCCATCATCCCCAGCGTTTCACTTGCACCTTTCTTTCTGCTCCACACCTGAGGCCCCTCCAGACCCATCCTCTTCAACGTTGCAGTCGCAGCTCTCTCTGTATTCAACTCTTGAGGCGCCGCAAGACCCATCATCCCCAGCGTTTCACTTGCACCTTTCTTTCTGCTCCACACCTGAGGCCCCTCCAGACCCATCCTCTTCAACGTTGCAGTCGCAGCTCTCTCTGTATTCAACTCTTGAGGCGCCGCAAGACCCATCATCCCCAGCGTTTCACTTGCACCTTTCTTTCTGCTCCACACCTGAGGCCCCTCCAGACCCATCCTCTTCAACGTTGCAGTCGCAGCTCTCTCTGTATTCAACTCTTGAGGCGCCGCAAGACCCATCATCCCCAGCGTTTCACTTGCACCTTTCTTTCTGCTCCACACCTGAGGCCCCTCCAGACCCATCCTCTTCAACGTTGCAGTCGCAGCTCTCTCTGTATTCAACTCTTGAGGCGCCGCAAGACCCATCATCCCCAGCGTTTCACTTGCACCTTTCTTTCTGCTCCACACCTGAGGCCCCTCCAGACCCATCCTCTTCAACGTTGCAGTCGCAGCTCTCTCTGTATTCAACTCTTGAGGCGCCGCAAGACCCATCATCCCCAGCGTTTCACTTGCACCTTTCTTTCTGCTCCACACCTGAGGCCCCTCCAGACCCATCCTCTTCAACGTTGCAGTCGCAGCTCTCTCTGTATTCAACTCTTGAGGCGCCGCAAGACCCATCATCCCCAGCGTTTCACTTGCACCTTTCTTTCTGCTCCACACCTGAGGCCCCTCCAGACCCATCCTCTTCAACGTTGCAGTCGCAGCTCTCTCTGTATTCAACTCTTGAGGCGCCGCAAGACCCATCATCCCCAGCGTTTCACTTGCACCTTTCTTTCTGCTCCACACCTGAGGCCCCTCCAGACCCATCCTCTTCAACGTTGCAGTCGCAGCTCTCTCTGTATTCAACTCTTGAGGCGCCGCAAGACCCATCATCCCCAGCGTTTCACTTGCACCTTTCTTTCTGCTCCACACCTGAGGCCCCTCCAGACCCATCCTCTTCAACGTTGCAGTCGCAGCTCTCTCTGTATTCAACTCTTGAGGCGCCGCAAGACCCATCATCCCCAGCGTTTCACTTGCACCTTTCTTTCTGCTCCACACCTGAGGCCCCTCCAGACCCATCCTCTTCAACGTTGCAGTCGCAGCTCTCTCTGTATTCAACTCTTGAGGCGCCGCAAGACCCATCATCCCCAGCGTTTCACTTGCACCTTTCTTTCTGCTCCACACCTGAGGCCCCTCCAGACCCATCCTCTTCAACGTTGCAGTCGCAGCTCTCTCTGTATTCAACTCTTGAGGCGCCGCAAGACCCATCATCCCCAGCGTTTCACTTGCACCTTTCTTTCTGCTCCACACCTGAGGCCCCTCCAGACCCATCCTCTTCAACGTTGCAGTCGCAGCTCTCTCTGTATTCAACTCTTGAGGCGCCGCAAGACCCATCATCCCCAGCGTTTCACTTGCACCTTTCTTTCTGCTCCACACCTGAGGCCCCTCCAGACCCATCCTCTTCAACGTTGCAGTCTCAGCTCTCTCTGTATTCAACTCTTGAGCCGCCTCAACACTCACTACACTGGCGCTACCAGTGTTACTGGCGTTACCGGTGTTACCAGCGTCACAGGCGTTACTGGCGTCTACACTAGTTCCTCGTTTGCGTTCCCTGCTAGGCTGAGACAGACATAGCCCTGCACCAAACTCCTTTCTGCTTGCTTCCATAGGCTTAGGGCCCATCGCTGTGCGCGCCTCTGTACCAATCTCAGCGTGATCCCTGTGACACATCTCAAGTGTTGTTGGGTGGCGTTCTACACGAGGCTCTACGCGAGGCTCTGTGTGCAGCGTTGTGCCAGGCTCTGTGTCAGTCTTTGTGTCAGTCTTTGTGTCAGCCCTTGTGTCAGTCTTCGTGTCAGTCTTCGTGTCAGTCTCCTCTGTGCCTTTCCTGGCACTCTCTTCAGTCCCCAGTTTGCTGCCAATCCTCTCTCTAGCTTTCTCTTCTGCCCCCTTGAAGCCGAAGTTCAGCTCAAGGTAATCGTTACAGACTCCTGCTACCCTTCCCGGCCGTAGATCTTCCTCTGATGCCATCTCAGCCGTTGGATCCTGCTCCAAGTCAAGCCCTTGCCGTCCAGATCCTCCGCCTCCTCCCTCATCAATCTCAGCCGTTGGAACGGACTCCAGATCAAAACCTGACCTACTCCCATTTGTCCGAGCCTCAGCAGCAGGTTCGGACTCCAGGTCGAAATCCAAGCCTCCCCTACCCCTCTTGCTCGACCTACCGTGCTCCCGATCTCCTCTTTCTCCTCTCTCGTTTGCCCCCTCTCTCTCTGCTTCATCCGCTCTCTCCTCTCTATTGGAATCAGGATGGCCCCTCTTTCTAAAAAGGTGAAGGCTGCCAGGGTCATGCTGTAAGTGCTTCTTCCCATCATCCCCATCACCCAAAGTGCTTCCTGCTGCTCCTGCTCTTGCTTCTCCTGTCTCTCCTGCGCCTTTTTCTCTTGCTCCTGCTGCTCCTGTTGCTCCTGTTGCTCCTATTGCTCCTGTTGCTCCTGTTGCTCCTGTTGCTCCTGCTCCAGTTGCTCCTGTTGCTCCTGTTGCTCCTGCTCCTCCTGTTGCTTCTGTTGCTCCTGTTGCTCCTGTTGCTCCTGCTCCTGTTGCTCCTGCTCCTGCTCCTGCTCCTGCTCCTGCGCCCGTTCCTGCTCCCGTAGTGCCTGCGCCTGCTCCTGCGTCTGAAGAGCCAGCGCCCGCGAGATCAGCTTCAGGATCTGCATTGAGGTCAGGGGCGCCGTTGGACGCATAGACGGCCCGAGCCCAGCTCTCAGGCGGGTTAAACGCTGCCAGGGAGAACGAAGGGGGGGGGGGAGGGGGAGGAGGAAGGGGGGGGGGGGGGGGGGTGGTGGGGGCAAGAGGACATACTAAGTAATAACGGTGGGATAACAGGCGACACACTGAGTGCAGGGTACCAGAACGCACACTAAGCACCGGGTGTGGGATACACAAGCACTCATTGAGTTAGGAGGACACACAAGAACTTACTGGGTGCGGGCCTGTTGCAGGATAGAGGGGAGCGCGGGAGAGGGGAGCGGGAGGAGGAGCGAGGAGGAGGAAGAGGAGGAGGAGAAAAAGGAGGAGCAGGAGGAGCAGCAGCAGGAGGAGGAGGAGGGTGGGTGGCAGAAGTTGCTACAGCAGGAGACACGGAGGAAGGAGAGGCTCCTGTTGATGGAACGACTCCTGTCGAAGGGGAGGCTCCTGCTGATCGTTTTGGTAGGCTCGAAAGAAGCTGCTGCTGCCTCTGTAAGAATGGGGGGAAGGGGTTCAGGGTTTCGGGTTTAACGTACACTGAACAACAAGCCGCATGCAACAATTGATGCAGCTGGCGAATCTGCGTGCTTGCAGGTCAACTCAACCAGTCAAGTCAACGCAAGTCGAGTCAAGTCAACGCAAGTCAAGTTGGTTGAGAGCCATTACAGACACTCACTTCATGCAATTGATGCAGCTGGCCAATCTGCTGCGCACACTCCTCCTCCTGCCAGTGGGGAGAGATGGTGGGGAGGGAGGGAGGGAGGGAGGGAGGGAGGGAGGAAGTAGGAAGGGAGGTGAAGGTGACGCAGGATAGGGAAGAAGGGGGGAGGTGAGGTGATGCAGCTGGCGAATCTGCCGCGCACTCTCCTCCTCCTGCCAATCAAGAGAGGTGCGCGAGGGGAGTGGGAGGACGGGGAGAAGAGAGGGAGACAGGAGGGGAGGATAGATGAAAAGGGGGGGACGGAGGGAGAGAGGGAAGGGAGTGTGTGGGGGTTGGGGGAGGGCGAGGGGAGGGGGAGGGAGGGAAGAGAGGAAGGGGGACAAGAGACGGGATGGGAGAAAGAGAAAGGGTCTATTTTTGAGGCGCCTCAAAAGAAGACTATTTTTTAGGCGCCTCAAAAATAGACTCCTCGCGAGTGGAGGGGGAGGTAGACATGGGCAAAAAAAATCGCATCGCATCGCATTTAATCGCGTTTTCGCGATGGCGATGTTTTTTTTTTTTTTTTTTAATCATCGCGCGATGCGATGAATTAATATCGCGCGATTTAATTTAAATCGCATTTTAATCGCGCTTAAAAAACGCGATTTAAATGCGATATGCGATTTTTAAAAAATCGCGCGCGATATTGCACTGAAACCAACTCTGAAACCCACTACGAAACCACACTGGTTATTTGCACTCTAGCTTACGACTGCCCGTGAGTCAATTTCCCCGCAGCCATGGTTTTTTCTGTTTTTTTGGGGTGTTTTTTAATTCTGTTTTAAAACGCGATGCGATTTAAAATCGCATTTTGCGATTTAATTAAATATCGCATGCGATTTATAAATACATCGCAGGTAAAATGCGATGTGCGAATTTTTTTTTTGGAAAAATAAATCGCGCGATGCGATTTAAAATCGCATCGCTTTTTTAAACATCGCACCTGCATGCGATGCGATTTAAATTGCAATCGCGTTTTGATCATGTCTAGGGGGAGGGAGGGAAGAGAGGAAGGGGAGACAAGAGATGGGATGGGAGGAGGAGAAAGGGGGGTGCACGCACCTGTGATTGCACCGCTGCAAAGATCCGCTGAGCCACTTCCTTCCCAAAGCACTTCACCATGTTGCGCCTCAACGCCTGCACTACCCTCTCCTGCACTGCCCTCTCCTCCACTACCCTCTCCTGCACTACCCTCTCCTCTGCTAATCTCTCCTCCACTACCCTCTCCACCACTACCCTCTCCTCCACTACCCTCTCCTGCTGCACCCCCCTCTCCTCCCCTACCCTCTTCTCTGCTAAAATCTCCTCCACTACCCTCTCCACCACCCTCTCTTCTCTAGGTATAACCTTCCCCTCTACTCTTGCCTTCTCCTGAGCTACCCTCTCCTCCCCTGCCCTCTCGTCCTCAGCTGTAGCCTTCTCCTGTACTCTTGTCTTCTCCTGTACTCTTGTCTTCTCCTGGACTACCCTCTCCTCCTCAACTCTCCCCTGCCTCGCCATTCCCGTCTCTGCCCTCTCCGCCCTCTGCTCCTCAACCATTGCATCTTCCTCCTCTCTCCTCTTCTTCCCCGCCCTCCTTTTCTCCTCCCCACTCCTCTCCTTCTTCCCACTCCTCTCCTCCTCCCCACACCATTTCTTCTCCGCCCCCACACCCCTCAGCACCTCCCCAAACCGTTTGTTCTCCGCGCCCACACTCCTCTCCTCCTCCCCAACCCTTCTCTTCTCCTCGGCTCTTCCCTTCCCAGCCGTCCTTCCCTCCTCCTTACCTGCAGCACCTGTGGCACCACCAGTAGCCGCACCACCAGTAGCAGCACCTGTAGCAACACCTGTAGCAGCACCTGTAGCAGCATCTGTAGCAGCAGCACCTGTAGCCGCATCTGTGGCAGCAGCAGCACCACTGATCCCACTAACCACATCATTACCAGCCCCACCACCCCCACCACCACCACCGGAGGAACCCACCCCTCCCACACTCCCCACGCCACTGCCACTTGGCCCTGCGTCCTCCCGCCTGCCGCTTAGCCCTGTGTCCTCCCGCCTGCCGCTTAGCCCTGTGTCCTCCCGCCTGCCGCTTAGCCCTGCGTCCTCCAGTTGAAGTGACACCCGCCGCCACCACTTAGCCTCAACCCCCATAGTATCAGCAGCAGCGGCAGGGGCACTAGCAGACCCACCACCTAAACCAGCAGCTGTAGCAGAGGCGGCAGCACGGGCCGCAGCAGGGGCAGCAGCAGAGCCACCAGCAGCATCAGCACCACTAGGTCCACCCGAGGTATACCCTCGTTCCATTCCCAACCCTACCTGCTTCCCTCCTCCAGCACCCTGCCCCTCCTCTCTTTTCCTTTGACCCGACTCAAAGGCAGTCAGCCCCTCCTCTCTTTCCTGCTTCACCAAAACCTTTGGCACTGGCAAAGCCCCTTCCCTTCCTACTGCTGCTGCTGCTGCTGCTGCCGCTGCTGGTGGTGGTACTATTGGTTCTGGTGCTGCTGCTGCTGCTGCTGCTCCGGCTGTTGTTGTGGTTGCTGTGGGTGCTCCTCTTCCTGTTGCTGTGAGTGCTGCTACAAGCGATCCTCCAGCTGCCGTTTCCGACTCCCTGTTACTCCGGCCCAAACTCGCCCATCTATTCAAAAAGAAATTCGCCGGAACCTGGACCTCCTGCAACGTTTGAGGCGCCTCAAAGCGATTCGCCGGAGTCTGAACCTCCTGCCCAGTGTGAGGCGCCTCAAAGCGGTTTGCAAGAGCTAGAACCTCCTGCACCTGCGCCTGCCCCTCTCCCCTTCCCTCCATTCTCATTCCCTCGTCCCGCCCACCCGTCACATCCCCTCCCACCTCCTCCCTCCTCCCCCTCTTCGCCTCAATCCCTCGTCCCCCCTCCTCCTCTTCTTCGTCTTTCCGCCTCTTCTCCCGACCCTCCGCCAGTCTCACTTCCCGAACCTCCGTCGGTCTCACTTCCCGAACCTCCGCTGGTCTCACTTCCCGAGCCAATCCCCAATCGTTCCCCACTTTCCGTCCCTCCACCTGACCCACATCCCAAACCTCCGCCGGTCTCACTTCCCGAACCTCCGCCGGCCCCACTTCCCGCCCTTTCGCCAGCCTCGGTTCCCGAACCACATCCCAATCGTGGCCTGCTTTCCACTCCTCCACCTGTCCCACTTCCCTTCCTGTCACTGCCACTGCTGCTGCAGCAGTAACGGACTCACGCCTCCCTTGCATCTCACCTCCCCCACCTGCCCCTCCACCCAGACCATATCCTCCCCCTTTCCCCCCACCTGCACTCACTCCTGCGCCCGCTCCCCCTTACCCCCTCCGCCTCCGCCTGCGCCTCCCCCCCCGCCTCCCCCACCTTCTCCGCCTCCCCCGCCTCCCCCTCCCGCCCCTGCTCCTGTTCCGCCCAGGAGCCCCGCAGCAGCTTGCCTGGCGGCTTCCAGCTGCCGAGCTGCTTCCAGCGGGCCTAACCGCCCCTCAAGCTGCAGGCGCAGGGCTAGGTCCGCTGCTCTCAAGTCCCGGAGGTGGGACTCTGCCTTCAATTCCCGCAGGGCTAGGTCCCGCTGGGCTAATTCGCGTTGGGCTAAGTCCCTTTGGGCTAAGTCCTGTAGATGAGATTCCGTATTGAGACGATTCCAGAGGAGAGAGTCGGCTAGAGAGGATGGGGAAAACGCCTGGCCATGGAAGGAGGAGAGCTGGGCGGTGGTTGCCGTTGCTGCTGCTGCTGCTGCTACCGCTGCCGCTGCAGCTGTTGCTGTTGCTGCTGCTGTTGATCCTAGGTCTCCTAGATCTCCTAGGTGTGCTGCTGCTGCTGCTGCTGCTGCGTTTAGGTTACTAAAATGCGCCGCTGCTGCTGCGGCTGCGGCTGCTGCTGCAGACCCTGCACCACCAGCGCCACCAGCACCACCTGCTGCTGCTGCTGCCTCGCGCAAGTGAGCTTCGGCGAGGATTCGGGAGGATAGGGACGCGATGAGCGATGCCGAAGCTCCACTCACAGGCTCGGACACGGTTCGGGAGCTGCTGCGGGAAGGAATGGGACCATGGGAGAGGTTGGGGTGAGTGAGAAGACTTTTGAGTCGACTCAAAAGTCATGGGGGAGGTTGGGGCGAGTGAGAAGGAGAATAGAAAGAGGGGGGGAGGGAGGTGGTCGAGAAGTGAGGGAGGGAGGGGAGAAAGGGAGATATGATTGCATGCGAAGGGAAGAGGCAAGAGGCGGGAGGACAGGGGGAAGAGGCAGGAGGGCAAAGGCGTGATTGGCGTAGCATGATTGCCAGAAGGTGCACGCAAGCAAGTGAGTGAGATCCCATGGATCGTCACTCGTGGCTTGATCTTTCACCATGCCACTCAATGGCTGCCAGCCATTGCACTTCAAACGGTGGGCGTGCGAGCTAAGAGGGGCGGATGTGGATGTGCTACTTTTGAAGCAAGGGGAGCCACTTACTGCGTGAACGGATGTGTGTGCAAGGGGAAAGGCCTTTCCCTCGTTTCCTTCTCCTCCTCCTCCCTCCTCCCCGCCCCAAGCCCAAACACCGCGCCCCTTCCGCCCTCCCCTCCAAATCGCTCCCCACTACCATCATTCCCCCCGCTACCCAGCCTCTGATCAAAGCCCCCCAGAAACCCCCTTCCCCCGCTTTCTTCCTCCAGATTCCTTCCCCCGCCCATTCCCCCCCCCTTTCCCCCTCCCCCCAACCCTCCGCCTCCGCCTCCCCCAAGGGGTGACGCCTCCGCCCCCCCATCCCCCCTGAAGCTGCTGTGGCGCAAGCCAGACGGCCCCAACCCCACGCCAGTGGCGGAAAGAGGCGTGGCGCTGGGTAGATGGGCGGAGAGCGAGCTCCCCCCCGCGCCAAGGGGGCTACCGCCTCCCCCACCACTCATACCCGCAGGCCCAGCGCCCGTACCCGCGCTCCCCCCGCCAGCGCTCGCGCCTGAGGCGAGATTTGATAGCCCGTGGGAAGCAGCAGACGCAGCAGCCGGGGGGGTTGAACCAGCAAGTCCTCCCCCTGGCATTGCCCCTGCTGCTATTCCTGACGTCCCGCCTGCTGCCGATGCCGCTGCTGCTGTTGCTGCCGCCGCCGCCGCTGCAGCTGCTGCTGCTGCTGCTGCTGCGCCGAGCCCAGTTCCGCGGGAGCCTGGGGTGCGCGAGCTGCTGTCGACCTCCCACGAGTTGTACCCAGCCCCAATGGCCACACTGCCGCCCCCCGGCCCCCCTGCTCCGCCAAACGCCCCCACGTCGAGGTTTGAACCCCCGCCTGCCGATTCCACTTGCCGCAGGTCGTTCTGTGGAGAAGAGGGAGAGAGAGAGAGAGAGAGAGAGAGAGAGAGAGAGAGAGAGAGAGAGAGAGAGAGAGAGAGAGAGAGAGAGAGAGAGAGAGACACACACACACAGAGGAACGGGCAGAGGAAAGGGAAAGACACGGGGGGAAACAGGGGGGGGGGAGGTGGAGTAAGGGAGCAGCGGAAAGGGGTGTCGGGCGTGCGCCCCGTGCTGTCGGCCTCCCACGAGTTGTACCCAGCGCCGATGGCCACGCTGCCGCCCCCCCGCCTGCCTGCTCCGCCAAAAAACCCTTCGCGTCAAAAGGTGGAGTAAGAGAGCAGCGGAAAGGGGTGTCAGGCGTGCGCCAGGTGCTGCCGACCTCCCGCGAGTTGTACCCAACCGCCGATGGCTACGGTGCCGCCATCGCTCAGCGTACCACCATGGCTCCGCTTACCACCATCGCTCCGGCATACCAGCGTCGCTCGGCGTACCACCATGGCTCCGCTTACCACCATAGCTCGGCGTACCACCATCGCTCCGCTTACCAGCATCGCTCTCGGCGTACCACCATCACTCCGGCGTACCAAGTTCTGAAGCCGCCGGATGGCAAACTCGCTTAGCAATTGCACTGGGAGACCCCCCCCCCCCTCTCAGTTCCGTACTCGCCGCGTGCGAAGCACCAGTTGCTGCTCCAACCAACCTGCCTTCAAGCTCACCAATTTTCTTCCGCTTACCCGCATCGCTCCGCGTACCAGGATCTGAAGCCGCCGGATGGCAAACTCGCTCAACGATTGCATCGCGCCCCCAGTGCCGCCCCTCCCCGTACTCGCCGCGTGCGCCGCAGCCGCTGCTGCCGCCGCTGCCGCCCCCCTCAGCCCCCCGCCAAAGATATTCCCGAACCCCGCGCCCCCCTCGCTCGCGGTCCCTCCCCGCGCCCCCGCGCCTCCCCCCAGCCCACCACCCAGCCCTGATCCCCCAGCGCCAAACAAGCTTCCTCCCAAGCCTCCGCCCAAACCTCCGCCCAAGCCTCCGCCCAAGCCTCCGCCGAGCATGTGGAATCCGTCTCTACCCAAAGCTGCGCCTGCCGACGCTGCCATAACCACGTCTAGCGGAACCCGCTCGTTTCCCTCGGCACTGCTCCCCGTCGTTCCGCTCAGTCCCCCAAGCGCCGCACCCAGCCCGCCCAAGCTTCCGCCAATGCTTCCGCCTAAGCTTCCGCCAGCCCCGCTCCCTCCTCCGCCCACAGATCGGTCTCCGCCCACGCGCATTCGATCCACGAAGTCGCTTGACAACGACCGCGACGCCGCGAGCAGCGACAACTGCCTTCGCGCGGCGATGCTCAACAGCGGATCGGACGCAGCTGCCGCCGCCGCCGCCGCCGCGGCCGCTGTCGCGAGGCTGTCGGAATGCGGGCCGAGAGGGGCGGAGAGAGACGCAAGGGAGGAGGAAGCGACGGAGGGCGAAAAGGAGAAAAGTCCGCCGAGCCCTAGCGCTTGAATAGCAGTAGCGGAAGAGGTTAAGAGGCTCGAGGGATCCTGCTGCTGATGCTGCTGTAGCTGTCTTAACTGCTGCTGGTGCTGCTGGTGCTGCTGCTGTTGCTGCTGCTGCGACCGCTCTAGCTCCGCGTTCCGCAACTCCTGCAGGCGGAGCTTCTCCAGGTGCGCAATGCCGTGCCCGCGCTGCATCACCTTCACCTTCTTCTCCCCGCCCGCGCCTGTGGAGCTCCCCCCCGCTCCCCCCCCTCCGCCGGCTCCGCTGCGCCCCCCGGGGCCGCTGCTCTCCGCGCCCCACGCGCCCCCCCGCGCTCCCGCTTTGTTCCGCTCATTGATCCGCGCCCCTCTCGATCTCCCCCGTTCCGCCGACTGGAGGCTTCGCCTCCCCCGCCAGCGCGGGACCCCTCCCTCGCGGCTTTGCTGGTGACCTCCATCGCTCGGAGGACTACCTGGAGTTAACAGATAATAAGAAACCCCAAGCAACGGAAGAAGAAACTAGTTCTATAGAAACAAACCGCTTGACCGCCGATTTTCAAATAAAACACCCTAATTGCTAGGGTTATGATAAAGGTGCCGGCTAAGGGGAAATCGCACGAAATCGAGACACACAAGGGTGCGCGATAGTAAAGACATACGTCGGCTATATCAGCAACAGGAAGTCTAATTGCTCTGGTTTGATGAGGTCGGTCTAAAAACCTCAGCATTTCAGGCCAGAGTAGCTGTAGAACCAGCTGGCGGGTTACACTAGGAAACCCTTATTTCGTCGAAGGAAAATCCATAAAAGGTGAGACAGGAGATAAGAAAGCGTCGCCGCCATTGCGATAGGTTCACTGGTAATACCCTTGGTTGATCCATCAGAATGGCTGAGTTTATCAGGAGCAGGTGACATTTTCCCCTGAAGCCAGAGCAGCCTCAGGGCGAGTACGTCACCCGTACAGTTTTTACAGGTCCGATACGGTGCCTCATGGTTCAAAGCGGTGGATCACAGAAACCGTTTCCCAACGTGTCGCACCGTACATCACCGCATTCAGTGTATGTGGGACGCACTCTTGGGACTCCTGGAAAAAAGTGCATGGAGAGAGTCTCAGAGGCTTCAAGTTGGATTGGAAAGGAAACCCTAGATTTGGCCTTGGGCTCGCTGTTCTCCGCCTCTGCCATGCCATGGTGATTCTTCCTCTAGCGTATCGCGCGACTCTTGCAAGGACGATTTTTGGTAACCAGCACTGGCGAGCCGAGATGCGTGTGATGGACGGCCGTGGACCACACAATCTACGTGGGACGGGATGGATTGAGAGACACGAGGAGAAATCTGATGATTGCGGAGCAACCATTGATTCTAGATCCTGCTGGAAGCAGTTGGGAAATGATAAAAAAGGGTCCTCGCTTTGCCAGAGGCGTGAGCAAAAAAGGTCCGGCTATTTTCTGCTCCAGGGACCTCGCCTCTGAACCTGAAATACATTTACGGGACGTTTGCGGTACCATTCAACATTTCTCAACGGGCAAAAAAAAACTAAAACCCATTGGGGACCGAATTCTGTTCCGGATGGCATTAACCCTAAACACGCGGCCCTTTTGCGAGTTTAGAGTTGATGCCACACCGAGTCGCATGCGGTGCCCCAATTGAATTTAGTTTTTCTTTTTGCCCTAATACAGTACAGTACATTGAATTCGTATAAAGGTCCCATCACAGGGTTAGGACACGAAGCACCCCCATGAACCTGCAAAATTGTGGCCCCGCGATGTGCGCGTGTTGTATGACGAATGAGGTGTAGCACAGGCTCGGAGACGAGGTCTCGGGGCAAAAAGCTGCCAGACCTTTTTTGCTCATGCCTCTAGCGATGGGAGGACCCTTTTTTATAATTTCCCGAAGCAGTTCACCCACGCATATCGAATGTACGGCTGCGATGCGTGGAAGTCAGTTTCAATGGCCGAGCGTTGTCTCCCTGTTTTCGGAAGGACCAACCGTACAACAGTGCGTTCAGCACCTAACAGTGTTGGGGTAGTTACCCCTTACTGATCAGCTGTAATTGTCCAAATAGAAATATGTTTCGGTCCAAATGTACAATGCTGAAACCGTTATAGCAATGCCTTCAAAAAACTGTAGTATTTCACCGACAACATTCCCATGTTGCAGAACAGTCTGCAAGCAGTTGCAGCGCAGCCTGCAAGCAATGCCGGGCACAGTACTGCCCCAACGCGATCTCCTCACCCATATGGGAACCAATCACGCAGCAAATGGCCATACCCGCTACAGGCTGTTGGTTCACATTCGAACATACTTTACAAGGACGACTCAATTTCAACCAAGCCGTTGTCTATGGCTTGACAGACACGTTCAGGTGGCTTTCGCGCGCGTATAAGCCTGCCGCTATGGCTTGGCTGACGACGGTGGTGCTGCTACTGCTGGCGCACTGGGCGGGCTTCGCCGAAGCTGGTAACCTCTTCGCCGATCAGGAACACGAAACCAGAACCCAGGCGCTGTTTGACGTGAGTGACGTGGCATCTTAGTCAGCTCTCCAATCAGCAACGAGCATTATGTCCCACCTTACTTATTCGGATACCGTACACTGGAGGACTGATCGTTCGTTCACTGCTTCCCGTTCACTCCCTTCCGTTATAATCACACCAGGAATGGACACAGGCGTATGGCCTCGAGGATTCCTCCGCCCTCCTCCCCCCTGCGCCACTTGCCCTTCCCCCCAACGTCCCCCCGGCGCCCCACCTCGAAGACTGCGCCGCCCGCACCGCCGCGCGTCGAGCAGCGGAAGAGCGGGGGGAGGGCGGAACACCCCTTGCATGGGCGCGCGAGGAATCTGGAGAGTGCTGTGGGGGAAGCGGGGGAAGCGGGGAGGATGGCCGGGGGTGTTGTAACTGCGGCCCCCAACCACCGTGGGTGGGTAGGTGGGTGGGAGGAGTGGGGATGCATGCATGGGTGCAACCATATAACTTCTCGTTTTTAAAAGGGTCTCCCCGCAAATTTCCCAAACCTTTCTGGGAGTTTCCCCAAATTTATTGCTGCAGCTCCTCAACTGTCTCTCAGCCTCTTGTCTCCCCCTTCCCCCCTTCTCCCCCCTTCCATCCCCCCCCCCCTCTCCCTCTCCCCCCGTCCCCCCCCCCTCCCCACCCGCGCCCCCCCTCCCCTTCTCCCCTCCTCCACCCCCTCCCTTTTCAGGTACGTGGTTCAGACGCGGCCAATCTGGCGATGACACGTGGCGCGCAGCGCGACATGTGGCGGCACCAGTTCCCCGCCAGCTGTACCGGGCGGCGGCTGATGCTGACGCGCTGGCCGGGGCTGCACCATGGGATGGGGTCCATGGTGCATGTGATGGGGGCCTATCTGAGCATCGCCCTGCGCAGTAACCGCACCCTGGTAGTCATGCCGGGGACATTCGAGAGGGCAACAAGGGAGTGTGAAGGTAAGGGATGTTGCGGTGCACACCGCGTTGCGATCTTGTAGGGCACGGCATGCATGTGAGAGAATGCCTCAAGGTGCGGCATGGTGTGATGCTGACGCGCTGGCCTGGGCTGCACCATGGCATCCATGGTGCATGTGATGTGGTGGGGGCTTATTTGAGCATTGCCATGCGCAGCAACTGGACACTGGTTATCATGCCGGGGGACATTTGAGAGGGCAACGAGCGAATGCGAAGGTTAGGAGAAGCGGTTAAACGCACCTGCCCTTCCCCACCGGGCCAATGGCATGGGGTCCATGGTGCGTGGCATGGGGTCCATGGTGCGTGGCATGGGGTCCATGGTGCGTGGCATGGGGTCCATGGTGCGTGGCATGGGGCCCATGGTGCGTGGCATGGGGTCCATGGTGCGTGGCATGGGGTCCATGGTGCGTGACATGGGGTCCATGGTGCGTGGCATGGGGTCCATGGTGCGTGACATGGGGTCCATGGTGCGTGGCATGGGGTCCATGGTGCGTGACATGGGGTCCATGGTGCGTGGCATGGGGTCCATGGTGCGTGGCATGGGGTCCATGGTGCGTGGCATGAGGTCCATGGTGCGTGGCATGGGGTCCATGGTTCGTGACATGGGGTCCATGGTGCGTGGCATGGGGTCCATGGTGCGTGGCATGGGGTCCATGGTGCGTGGCATGGGGTCCATGGTGCGTGGCATGGGGTCCATGGTGCGTGACATGGGGTCCATGGTGCGTGACATGGGGTCCATGGTGCGTGGCATGGGGTCCATGGTGCGTGACATGGGGTCCATGGTGCGTGGCATGGGGTCCATGGTGCGTGGCATGGGGTCCATGGTGCGTGGCATGGGGTCCATGGTGCGTGACATGGGGTCCATGGTGCGTGGCATGGGGTCCATGGTGCGTGACATGGGGTCCATGGTGCGTGGCATGGGGTCCTTTTTTGAGTCGACTCAAAAATCACCTAAGAATTTTTTCTACCAAACGATAAGTGTTTGACAAGCCCGCTGCCACGTATGGCTAAAACTACCACCAAGTGGTGTTCTCATGGTGCGTGACATGGGGTCCATGGTGCGTGACATGGGGTCCATGGTGCGTGTTAGGTGCGTGGCATGGGGTCCATGGTGCGTGGCATGGGGTCCATGGTGCGTGGCATGGGGTCCATGGTGCGTGGCATGGGGTCCATGGTGCGTGACATGGGGTCCATGGTGCGTGGCATGGGGTCCATGGTGCGTGACATGGGGTCCATGGTGCGTGGCATGGGGTCCATGGTGCGTGGCATGGGGTCCATGGTGCGTGGCATGGGGTCCATGGTGCGTGGCATGGGGTCCATGGTGCGTGACATGGGGTCCATGGTGCGTGACATGGGGTCCATGACCCATCCATGGTGCATGTGATGGAGGCATTTTTTAAGCATTGCCATGCGCAGCAACCGCACTCTGGTTGTCATGCCGGGAACAGTTGAGAGGGCTACAAGAGTGTGCGAAGGTAGGAGATCACCCCTCACCACCACTCCCCAATCCTCCCCACCTCATCCCACCCACCCCATCCCACCTTCCACCTCGCACCCTCCCAACTCATACAACTCACTCGAGCAGCTTTTGAGTCGACTCAATAGCATCACCCCCCGAACCCCCAACACATACGACACACTCGAGCAGTTGGAAGGCTAAATGGCTGATGCTGACGCACTGGTTGGCCCTGCGCCATGGCATGGGGTCCATGGTGCATGGGGTGGGGTCCGTGGTGCATGGGGTGGGGTCTGTGGTGCATGGGATGGGGTCCAGGGTGCATGGGATGGGGTCCATGGTGGTGCATGGGGTGGGGTCCATGGTGCTTGGGATGGGGTCCATGGCGCATGGGATGGGGTCCATCCATCCAACTCCTCCCCTCCCCTTCCCCCCACCCTCCTCCCCGCTTCCCTCTCAAGTCCCGCGCCAGGGCCAGCAGTGGGAGTGCTAGTTCGTTCTTCCCATCCAGTTTTGAGGCGCCTCAAAGCCAGCAGTGGGAGTGCTAGTTCGTTCTTCCCATCCAGTTTTGAGGCGCCTCAAAGCCAGCAGTGGGAGTGCTAGTTCGTTCTTCCCATCGAGTTTTGAGGCGCCTCAAAGCCAGCAGTGGGAGTGCTAGTTCGTTCTTCCCATCCCCCGCTTTCCATCCACTCCTGCCACCCCTCTCCGTCCGGCCCCACCCCATCTCACCCCTCCCCTCCCCACCACTCCCCACCCCTCCCCACCCATCCGTTCCCCACCTCAAGGCCTGCTCCAGGCGCAGCAGTGGGAATGCTACTTCTTCCCATCTCCGCCCGTTCCCTCCATCCGTCCCAATCCATGCCCTCTTCTTCCCCTCCCCTCCCCTCCCCTCCCCTCCCCTCCCCTCCCCACCCCTCCCCACCCCTCAAGAAGACCTGCACAAGGCACAGCAGTGGGAGTGCTACTTCTTCCCCATCTCCTCCCCGGGCTGCGTGCAAGAGGCCATGGCAGCACATGATAGAGGGGAGGCCCCGGATATCTGGGCGCAGGAAGGAAGGGAGGACATGCTGGCTGGTGCCACTCAGGTTGGTGCTTCTTTGTCAGCAGTGGGAGTGCTACCGCTTCCCCATCTCCTCCCCAGCCTGCATTCAAGAGGGCATGGCAGGAAGGAGGGGAGGACATGCTGGCTGGTGCCACACAGGAAGGAGGGGGCGAGCTTTGGATATCCGGGCGCAGGAAGGGAGAGAAGCCATGCTGGCTGGTGACACTCAGGCTGGTTGGTACTTGTGCACTATTAGGCTAGTAGTAGAGGGGGGAGGCTCCGAGTATCCTACTATCCAGCATATGATGGGGGGATGGCGTGTAATGAGTCGATTTTTTAGTCGACTCAAAAATCGACTCATTACACTATGGTAGGGGGGGTGGCTCTGGATCTCCGGGCGCAGGAAGGGAGAGTAGCCATGCTGGCTGGTGACGCACAGATTGGTATATGTGCACTATTAGGCTAGTAGAGGGAGGAGGAGGGGAGGGGGCGAGCTCCGGATATCCGGGGCAAGAAGGGAGGGATGCCATGCTGGCTGGTGACACGTAGGTTGTCTGCGAAAGAAAAAGAAGCCCCAAGGAAGTGGTTTTCTGCATTTTATCTATCCTCGTTCTGGGCTCTTCTTTATTCTATTGATTCTATTCACAGTTTTCCGTTCATTTTGCGGCATTTCGTCTTCGGTGCCATTTTTGGGGGCAGCGATACAATCTCATATGAGAGGGCAACGTCTCATTTTTGTTGCGGTCTATACGTAAACCCTGGTACCGTGCATCCCTGCAATGCAGGTGGTTTATCTCGCCCTCTCATCCCTCTTCGGTGACATTGACGCTGCCAGGCTGTAAGTTTGAGATGGGAGGAGCGTTTTTGCTAGATTGGTTGGATTGATGCCTCTATGAGAGTGCATTCTTTTTGCTTGCATGCGATTCGCACCATGCCCCCCGTGGCAGGACGTGAGGCAAGCCCTGGTAAGACTCCAGTTTCGCCATGTGCCTTCAATCCTACTTTTCAACGACCCCTATGTCCACAAGCAACGACCCCCCTTGTCTGCATGCAACAACCCCCCTGTCCGCATGCAACCAACATTGCATTCTCACCCACACAATGGTACCCACTGCAGGAGGTGGGGCAAGCCGTGGCTGGATCGGCCGCACACCATTCAAGAGGCGGCTTCCATTTCTACTCAAGAGCCTGACTGGATGATGGTGGGTGTGTGATGGTGCTTGGTGCATAATGGTGGGTGCATGATGGTGGGTGTATGATGGTGGGTGTGTGATGGTGGGTGTGTGATGGTGCTTGGTGCGTAATGGTGGGTGCATGATGGTGGGTGCATGGTGGTGGGTGTGTGATGGTGCTTGGTGCATAATGGTGGGTGCATGATGGTGGGTGCGTGATGGCAAGTGCGTGGTATTTGTCGCACGACAACTGTGTTTTCAAGGGGGGGCTCATGCGTGAGGAGTCTATTTTTTAGGCGCCTCAAAACTAGACTCCTCATGCATGATGGCGAGTGCATGGTATTTGTTGCATGACAATTGTTTTTGCAAGGGATTGCTCAAGCCACCCACGTCTCCTCCTCCTCCTCCTCCTCCTCCTCCTCCTCCTCCTCCTCCTCCTCCTCCTCCTCCTCCTCCTCCTCCTCCTCCTCCTCCTCCTCCTCCTCCTCCTCCTCCTCCTCCTCCTCCTCCTCCTCCTCCTCCTCCTCCTCCTCCTCCTCCTCCTCCTCCTCCTCCTCCTCCTCCTCCTCCTCCTCCTCCTCTTCCCTTGAAAATACAAAGCTTCTGAAGGCCCATTGGCAGAGGTCTGCTGGTGTCTCTTGCCCTTCTTACCTTACTCTCCTCCCCCCAGGCCCGGTGGTGGAGGGCTCAAACAACCCGCTTCTTGCTCCGCTGGCCGTCCGCTCATCTCTGCCACGTCATCAACCGCGTCCGCCACGTCAGCTACGGCCTCCTCGTGGCCAATCGCGTGGCAGCAGTCGCGGCACAGCAAGGGAGCATCGTTGAATCACTGAACGCCACCGTAGCAGCCAGCTCAGCTGCCACCTCAGCTGCCACCTCATCAGCGGAAGAAAGGGATCCTCTGGACGACCTGCTGCTGCTGATTGCTGCCAAGGCGAGGGAAACGGGGCGGGAAATTCTTGCAGCCAATGGGAATGCGACACGTGTGCGGTCGTTGCAGTCGCACGTTTGGCCAAACAGGGGTCGTTCAGGCTGCCATAACCTCCCCAGCAGTATCCCCGCCGCCTTTCACAATCCCTCCAGCTCCCAGCAGCCCCATGGGGGTTCTATGGATGTTGGGGGGGAGGTGTTTATGGTGCGGCCAGTGGTGAGCATGCACGTGCGGCTGAGCGACAAGGGGTCGGAGATGGGTCTGCACCCTCTGCCGTCATTCCTTGTGATGGCATCCAGGCTGAGACAGCATCGGCCAGACCTGAGGCACGTTTGGCTGAGCACTGAAGTACAGGTGAGAATGGAGGGCATTCAACGCCTTGTGTTCCGTGAAGGGTGGGCGTGAAATGAGGGGGAGTGGAGGGAGCAAGGGAATGCATGTGTGTGCGGCTGAGCGACAAGTAGCCCGAGATGGGTCTGCACCTGCTGCTGTCATGCGTCCTTCTCATATCTTCCTGGCTGGGCATCAACTAGACCTGACGTTATGAGAAGGAGAGTAATTACCTTTGTTTCTCATCACTCTCCTTGCTCCGCCGCCCACCACTCTCTCCTCCCTGCCATCCTGCGACTTTTGTGTCAACTCAAAAGTCACCTCTGTCTCGCATTGCTCTCTCTCACTCTCCTTGCTCCACCTTCCGCCTCCCTCCCCTGCCATCCTTCTATCCTCTCTCCATTTCTCCCCGTTTTCTATTTCCTCCAGTCTGTAATCGACGAAACGAACGATCATCCCGACTGGACGTTCTTCTACACCAACAGCTCCCGAGTGAACAGTGCGGAGCAAATGAAGGACGCGCACGAAAATGCGCGACAACCTATGGGGATTATTTTTGCCAACCTGCTCATTACATCGGAATGCGATTACTTTATTGGATCGTTGGGGTCGAATTGGAACAGGCTTATAGACGAATTGCGCAGTACGAACGGAAGGCTGTACGCAGGTCTAATATCTTTCACTTTCGGACTGTAAGACTTCACGAAGAGTACTACATGTTACACGTCGGTATCTCCAAAGAGTTACACTTTAACAAAGTTGTGCCACAACCAGAATCACAGCCTTCCATCCAAGGCCAATATATGACTCTAGCCAGCACGAAAGAAGTTGATAGATATAGCACACAATAAGACCACTTCTTACACCTATGACCAAGAGGAGCAGAGCACGCACTTACAGCTCATAGCTTCTATCTAGGAGGAGCTAAGGGAGGGGCGGCCGAGGGGGCCGCAGCTGTTGGCGCGATTGAGACGAGTGAAGGAGTCGGTCAATACCCAACCCCCCTTTCGAGAACCCAACTCAAATGCCGCCGTGCTCCGCGCATGCAGAAACTTGGCTGAGCTACGGCCTACGAGCAGAAGGAAGGGCAGCAGCAGCTGTTGACTTGTCGCGGTTGAGAGGAGTGAAAGTGTCTGCCAACACCCAACCCCCCTCTGAAAGTCGAGCTCCAAGGCCAAGCTCGGCGCATGCAGAAACTTGGCTGAGCTACGGCCTACGTGCAGAAGGAAGGGCGGCGGAGGGGGCCGCAGCTGTTGGCGCGATTCAGGAGGGGGAAGGAGTCAGCCAACACCCCTGAGCCCTGGTGGTTGCGGAACCTGCGCAGTTAAGAAAGGGATGCGCATATAGGAGAGGGAAGGAAGGAGGGTTTTCAGAGGAGTGGAGAAGGGCCAACGCGCCTGATCCCTGGTGGTTGCGGTACCTCCGCAGTCAATAGAGGAATGCGCAGATAAAAGAGGGAAGGAAGGAGGGTTTTCAGAGGAGTGGAGAAGGGCCAACGCGCCCGATCCCTGGTGGTTGCGGTACCCCCGCAGTCAATAGAGGGATGCGCAGATAAAAGAGGGAAGGAAGGAGGGTTTTCAGAGGAGTGGCGAAGGGCCAACGCGCCCGATCCCTGGTGGTTGCGGTACCTCCGCAGTCAATAGAGGAATGCGCAGATAAAAGAGGGAAGGAAGGAGGGTTTTCAGAGGAGTGGAGAAGGGCCAACGCGCCCGATCCCTGGTGGTTGCGGTACCCGCGCAGTCAATAGAGGGATGCGCAGATAAAAGAGGGAAGGAAGGAGGGTTTTCAGAGGAGTGGAGAAGGGCCAACGCGCCCGATCCCTGGTGGTTGCGGTACCTCCGCAGTCAATAGAGGAATGCGCAGATAAAAGAGGGAAGGAAGGAGGGTTTTCAGAGGAGTGGAGAAGGGCCAACGCGCCCGATCCCTGGTGGTTGCGATACCTGCGCAGTCAATAGAGGGATGCGCAGATAGGAGAGGGAAGGAAGGTGGGTTTTCAGAGGAGTGGAAGGGCCAACGCGCCCGATCCCTGGTGGTTGCGATACCTGCGCAGTCAATAGAGGGATGAACAGAAAGGAGAGTGAAGGGAAGATGGTTTCCAGGGAAGTGGAGAAGGGCCAACACTCCTTTGCCCTGGCAGTTGCCGTACCTGCGCATTCAATAGAGGGTGAACAAAGGAGAGGGACAACCGGTGGTTTTCAGGGGGAGTGAAGCAATCAGCCAACACCCCTTCAACAATAAGGCTAAGAAACACCCGTTTAGAAAGAAATGCCAAGAAACAGCCCTGAGACACAGAGGTTGAGAAACCTACCAGCTGTAGGTGGCGGTGCAGTTGTCGTTGGAAACGAGAACGGGCCTAGAGGTAACCACACCTGGAAGTAAGGTCACGGACGCACCAGGAAGTGAAGTCACAGACGTACCAGGAAGCGAGGTCACGGACATACCAGCTGTAGGTGGCTGTGTGGTTGTCGTTGAAAATAAGCTCCGCGTGGCCGAAGGACTCCTCGCGGTATGCGCTGTACGATGGCTGGGGCTCGAGAAAACTGAGGGGAAAAAAGGACGGGGGGGGGGAGGGGGGCAGGGGGGCAGGGAATGGGGGATGTGCGACGGCGCGCTGCCTGAAGGACTCCTCGTGATATGTACTTCATGATGGCAGGGGCTTCAGGAAACTGAATGCTGAAGAAAAGAAAGATTTTTTAGGCGCCTCAAAAATGTACTTTATGATGCCAGGGGCTCCAGGAAACTGAATGGTGAAGAAAAGAAGGGGAAGGAAGGGGGAGAGGGGAGGGAGAGAGGGGGGGGGAAGAGGGGGAGCCGGGGGGGGGGGGGGGGGGGGGGTGATGTGTGACGATTTGGTGCCCAAGGGGAAGACGGGGTGGACTCCTGCCCGATACGCACTGTATGGATAAAATCCGCGTGATAGGAGTGTAGTTTTGAGGCACCTCAAAATCCGCGTGATAGGAGTCTAGTTTTGAGGCGCCTCAAAACTAGACTCCTATCACGGGGGTGGACTCCTGCCCGATACGCACTATATGATTCTATATGATGGCTGCAGCCCAGATCCAGGAAACGGCATCGAAAAGCGGGGGAAGAAAAGCAGAGTGGGAGATTAAGGATAAAATTACAAAGGAAGGTTGAGCTGAACCTGCAGAATCCTCTGCTATGTAGAATCAGCAGGTTTCATCGTCTACTATGTCCGCAGCAAGGTACATATTGCTTTTGAGTCGACTCAAAACCTGCTGATTTCTCACTTTCCTTGCCTCCATGCTCTGATGCACCAAGATACACATTGTCTCCAAGTTCCAACCGACTGATGCAGCAATGTTCTCGAGGCGCTAAATAAGCACCACCATGAGCTCATGCAGCATGAGTGTTGTGTGACATTGTAACGAGGTGACTTTTGAGTCGACTCAAAAGTCACCTTGAGGGGCTAAATAAGCACCACCATGCGCTCATGCAGCATGGAGATTCAACACACCTTGCTGCAGGAATAGTCAGCAGCAGAAGGGAGGATACAACCAGTCATTGCACCACACATAAGGCACTCATGTGCTCGATGTTCCCGCCGTCAGCAACAGTCACATGCACGGCAGCACGGACGTTGCCCATCTTTCTCATGGCATACACTAGGGGGTGCAGCTACACATACACATGGCCACACATAGGGCAATCACGGGCCGGCGATCTCTTCAATGTTGCCGCCGTCGCCGACCGTCACATGCACAGCAGCACACCTGTTCTCCACCCGCTTCATGCCGTAGACCAGGTAGCTGCGCTCGTACACGTGCACGTGGCCACTTAAAGCACACACACCGGGCACTCACGGGCCGGCGATTTCCTCGATGTTGCCACCGTCGCCCATGGTCACGTTCACGGCAGCACGCCCGTTGCCTTTTGAGGCACCTCAGAATTAGAACTGAAGACGGGCGGCAGTTAATAAGCACTCACGGGCCGGCGATTTCCTCAATGTTGCCACCGTCGCCCACAGTCACATGCACGGCAGCACACCCATTCTCCACCCGCTTCATGCCGTAGACCGGGTAGCTGCGCTCATACGCGTGCACATGGCCACTCGCCACCAGGTCCACCCCTGCCTCATGCAGCCAGTCCTCAATCTCGTACCGCATGGGCTCGCCCTGAGCCAAGGATGGGCAAGGCGGAAGGCAAGGCGGAAGGCAAGGCGGAAGGCAAGGCGGAAGGCAAGGCGGATGGCAAGGGGGAAGGCAAGGGGGAAGGCAAGGGGAACAAAGGGCACGCTTTATGCCATACACGGGGTGGGTGCACTCATACGCCCCGTGCACATGGGCTGGAGTGCACATGGGCTGGAGTGCACATGGGCACTCCGTGTATGACTGGGGCACTCCCCATCAGCCTCGTGCAGCCACTCCTCCATCTCGTATCCCATGGGGCTTGTCCTACACAAAGGAGGGATGGAAGGGAGAACAATGGGCCCCCATGGCACATGGAGTAGCTCCTCCAGCCGCCAGATTCATCCCGGCCTCCCCCCCTGGTCTACACCACCCACAGCTGCTGTCAAATATCTAGCAGGCTCTGCTGCCACTTAAGCCATACCTCGAGGTAGTGCCCCTGGTTGCTGTTGTAGAGCGGCACGTGCATGAATGCCACCCACCACCTATGGCTACTGTCCCATTCGATTGTTACTCGCTGTTAATACTCGTTGTATCCACCTGTTACAGCCGTACCTCAAGGTAGTGCTCGTCGTTGCTGTTGTAGAGCGGCACGTGCACGAATGCCCACAACCCCCTGCTGATATCGCTTTCAATTGTTCATCGCAGGTAGTGCCCAGGTATGCGGGTCGCAGTATCCAACTAAAACAACCATACCTCGAGGTAGTGGCCGACATTGCTGTTGTAGAGCGGCACGTGCACGAATGCCCAGGTATGCGGGTCGGTCGCAGTATCCAACCAAAACAACCATACCTCGAGGTAGTGCCCGTCGTTGCTGTTGTAGAGGGGCACGTGCATGAAAGCCACGACCCACGGGGTCTTCTCACGGTCGATGCGGCACAAGTCATCCCGCAGCCAGTACCACTGCGGGGGGAGGAGGGGGGGGAGGGGAGGAGGAAGCAAGGCAAAAGATAGGTCTTTCTTGAGTTCAAGAAGCTGAATGCCACCACCCACGGGGTCTTCTCACGGTCGATGCGGCACAAGTCATCCCGCAACCAGTACCACTGCGGGGGGGAGAAGGGGGGGGAGGGGAGGAGGATAGGCCTTTCTTGAGTCAAATGCCACCATCCACGGGGTCTTCTCGCGGTCGATGCGGCACAAGTAGTCCCGCAACCAGTACCAGTGCCATGCAGGGTGGGGGGGACACAAGCCAGATGCCACGAAGGGATTCCCGGGGGGGGGGGGGGGGGGGGGGGGGGGGTGGGGCAAATGGCATGAAAACAAGTGGGGAAAACCCGGGGACAGCGAAACAAGAATCAGAGCCGTCACGCAACGAGTGGGCAGTGGGCAGTGATCGCACACCCAGACCAGTAGCACTGCGTTTTTGCAGGGTGTTTTTGAGAATTCTCAAAAACACCCTGCAAATTTTGGGATTTCTCAAAAACACCCTGCAAAGTCACGCAACGAGTGGGCAGTGATCGCACACCCAGACCAGTAGCACTGCGAAATGAGGTAATGAGGGGCTGGGAATATCAGCAGCCGAAATGGAGTACGAGTCGACTTGACGACGACAATGCTGTCATTACTGAGAAGGGGCCGATAGAAGAAGAGAGGTGTCAACAGGAGGGAGTGCACCTTGGTAGTGATTCCTTAGTCTTCTAAAAAAACAACCCTACACCACATGGTGTACAACAACCATGTACCTGGTGCGTGCAGCCCCGACCTACCTGGTGCGTGCAGTGCAGCCCTTACCCACCTGGTGCGTGTAGATGACAAAAGGCGAGTACGAGTTGATGGCGATCACGTGCACGGGGCCGATGTCAAGCGAGTAGAAGAGAGGCGCCTTGGAAGGGTACGCGTGATGGTGATGATTGGGAGAGATCCCAGCCTGAAATCGAGTGGGCAAGACAAGAGGGGGGACAAGGGAAGCAAGTGGAGGGATAAGGGAGGCTAACACACGTGAGGTTAACACAACAAGAGAGGTAAACACAACGAGAGGTTAACACAACAAGAGAGGATAACATAACAAGGGAGGTTGACACAATAAGGGAGAAACACAAGGCGCCTGGAGGGATAAAAGAGGGAATCTGCTTTTGAGGCGCCTGGAGGAGCAGGCGAAGGCTGTGGTGGTGATGACTGGGAGAGATCCCATCCCGGCCTGAAACTGAGTGTGCAAGGCAAGTGGAGGAACAAGAGAGGTTAACACCAGGCGCCTCAAAGACATTGAGGCGCCTAAAAAATTCGACTAGATATCAACTCAATAATCCAGCCTCTCTAGTCAGATGTTACAAGTTGACGTCATCTCAGGTGCTTACTTCCGATGATTGTGGTGGTGACGGTGAAGGGGGTCAGAACCCACATTAGCCTTTCTGCGATCAACTCCTAGATCTACTCTTAGGAGGCTTGCTGCGGATCAAACCCAACCCCTTTTCACCAGTGATGGTGAAGGGGGTCAGAACCTAGATTACCCTCATTTGCTGATGTTGAAATTCCTGCTCGTGTAGCCAAATCAGGAGTGTCACACAGGGCTACCTTGCGTAAGTAGTTAAGTTTTTAGACGTCTCAAAACTAAAACTATTTGCACCCAAAGCAAGAGTGTCACGCAGGGCTTTACCTTGGCCAGCAGGGTAGCCAGCAGCGGGTGGTGGTGGTGCAGCAGAGGGGGGATGCGAGCAGAATAGACTTTGAACGGCCTCAGCTCGCCCCACCGAGGAACGAGCTCGATCTCATGGTTCCCTGGGACGTGGGCCACAGGCTGGGTGGATGGATGGATGGACCAGAAGAGGAGCGCACAAGAGATAAGCAGAAAGCAAGAGGAGAAATTTTGGGGCGCTAAGTAAGAAGCAGCTCGTTGCACCGGCAACGAACTCAGTCTCGTGGTTCCCTGGGACGTGGGCCACAGGCTGGGCGATGGGAAACATCAGAGAAAGTTGAAAACGTCAGAAAGAAGAAGGCAAAGCAGAAAGCTATGCCTTTTGTGTCTTTCTGATGTTTTCTGGTGAGGGGAACCATCAGAGAAAGCTGAAAGCATAAGAAAGCAGCAGCAACGGCAGAGAGCGTAACATCTTCTGTTCTCCTCAAACCCAAGGCACAGACCGGGAGCGGACGGAACCTCCAAACCAAATTCAGCCCAGAAGCACCATTACGTGCACCAAGAAGCAGAGCACTTACAATATGCGCAAAGACTTTCTCAGACAAGCGGCCATAAGAATCCCAGCGCACTCCACCCAGCCCACAGATCTTGCTCTTCTTTGAGGACGCATGAGCTTCTGCGGTAGGAGCATTGGGGCGGCAGTGGGGCGGGCCGTACTGGTCGGCGTAGCTCAGATCCCCAGCGAAGAGCACCAGGCTGGGGCTGCCGGCGTTCACGTTGTCGAAGGTGGTGCTGCTGTTGAGCGTCTGACCCACGTCGCCTGGAAGCGCGGGGGGGGAGGGGGTGGGAGAGGGGTTGAGGGGGAGGATACATATAGAGTAAAACGCAGAGAACAAGGCTGGGGCTGCCTGCGTTCACGTTGTCGAAGGTGGTGCTGCTGTTGAGCGTCTGACCCACGTCGCCTGGAAGCGGGGGGGCAAGGGGGGGGGGAGAGGGAGGGAGTGGCAGGGGTAGGAGAGAGGGGGGGAGTGGCAGGGGCAGGGGAGAGGGGGGAGGGGGAGAACATATGGTTAACGCAGAGCACAAGGCTGGGGCTGCTGGCTTTCACGTTTTCGAAGGTGGTGCTGCTGTTGAGCGTCTGACCCACGTCGCCTGGGGGGGGGGGGGGAGGGGGAGGGGAGTGGGGGGAGGGCGAGGAAATACAGTTAACGCAGAGAACTTAGCTGGGGCTGCCTGCGTTCACGTTGTCGAAGTTGGTGCTGCTGTTGAGCGTCTGACCCACATCGCCTGAAATCGCGGGGGGCGGGAGGGAGGGGATGAGGGGGGGGGAGAGGGGGGAGGGGAGGGGGAGGAGGAGGACATACGGTTAATGCGGAGAACAAGGCTGGGGCTGCCGGCTTTCACGTTGTCAAGGGGTGGTGCTGCTGTTGCAACTCTGACCCACGCCACGTGGAAAGCCCTCAATTCGGTAAAAGTAGCGAGCGGTTGGGAGAAGAGGATAAGGGTAGTCGCCCAAGTCGTAGATTCACGCACGCAAGGCACGAACACAAACCCACAAGAGCGACATTGAATGGGTAAGTGGATCCAGGGGTGCGGCGGGGAGTGAGGTGAAGGAGTGGGTGACTGGAGAGGCCTCGATCCGATAGAAGTAGCACGAGGAGGGGAGGGGAGGGGAGGAGAGGGGTGGAGGCAGCTTACCCCCAAGATGCAAAGGAAATCGCTGACAAAGGAACCCAAGATGTGCGACTGGTGGACCATGTGTCCGGAAGTAGTAGCGAGTGGAGGGGAGGAGAAGAATCTGAGAAGAAGAATCTGAGAAGAAGAATCTGAGAAGAAGAATCTGAGAAGAAGAATCTGAGAAGAAGAATCTGAGAAGAAGATTCTGAGAAGAAGATTCTGAGAAGAAGAATCTGAGAAGAAGATTCTGAGAAGAAGAATCTGAGAAGAAGATTCTGAGAAGAAGATTCTGAGAAGAAGAATCTGAGAAGAAGATTCTGAGAAGAAGAATCTGAGAAGAAGATTCTGAGAAGAAGAATCTGAGAAGAAGATTCTGAGAAGAAGAATCTGAGAAGAAGATTCTGAGAAGAAGATTCTGAGAAGAAGATTCTGAGAAGAAGAATCTGAGAAGAAGATTCTGAGAAGAAGATTCTGAGAAGAAGAATCTGAGAAGAAGAATCTGAGAAGAAGAATCTGAGAAGAAGAATCTGAGAAGAAGAATCTGAGAAGAAGATTCTGAGAAGAAGAATCTGAGGAAAAGCATCGGAGGTTAAGGGAGCTCGCTGGTTACTCACCCACAAGAGCGACTTTGAAGGGATAGGTGGAGCCAGGGGCAGGGAGAGAGGTGAAGGAGTGAGTAATTGGAGAGCCCTCAATCTGGTAGTAGTATTGCGTGGAGGGAAGCAGAGGCCCGATGGGGACGAAGAAGGTGTCGCCCGACACGTAGGCGCCGTCCGTTCCCTCGGCAAAGGAGTAGCGGAATGAACGGCCGCTGCAGGCAAAACCCGTGAGGCGGGGAACGAGAGAGAGGAGAGGGCTCATGGGGATGACAAAGATATTGCTGGATGAATCGATACGTGTATTGATGGGGACATGTAGTGAATCAGTCTACAAGATACACGTGTTCAGACGAGCCCTACCTGGCCGACTGGTTCACAGTGTTTGGATCCGTGCCATAATGCACGGAGCACTTGCACCTGCGCCTGCACTTGCTCTGCCGCACTTCCACCTATGCTTATCAAGTACCCTTAAGTCGAGCATACCCTGGCCGAGCGCTTGCACCTGCGCCTGCACTTGCTCTGCCGCACTTCCATCCACCTATGCTTCTCGAGTACAGTGCACTATAACGGGCCCTACCTGGCCGACTGGTTGAGGGCGTTTGGGTCCGCGCCATAATGCACAGAGCGCATGCGCCTCGTTTCCATGTATGCAGGTGACTTTTGAGTCGACTCAAAAGTCACCTTGCTTCCATAGGTGATTTTTGAGCCGACTCAGAAATCATCTTTTCAGTCGACTCAAAAGTCACCTCGCTTCCATCCACGTATGCGTATTGGTTAAACCGAGCATGGCCTACCTGGCCGACTGGTTGAGTGTGTTGGGGTCCGTGCCATAATGCACCGAGCGCTTGCGCCTGCACTTGCTCTCTTCCCCCCCACCATCCATCAACCCCTCCTCCTCCTCCTCTTCTCCCATTTCAGCGAGCAGGTCAGCTGGTAGCTTGTGTTTCTTCTCGCATGGGCTCAACGGCATGATGTTGGGGATGGCAAAGCGGACAAACATGAAGAGACCATCGGGTGAAGCCGGTGCAAGAAGCACCTGGAGGGAAGGGGGATGAGGGACGTGAGCAGGTCAGCTGGCAGCGTGTGTTTCTTCTCGCATGGGCGTAACGGCATGATGTTGGGGATGGCAAAGCGGACAAACATAAAGAGACCAGCAGGGGAAGCTGGGGCGAGAAGCACCTTGGGGGGGGGGGGGGGGGGGGGGGGGAGGGGAGTGGGAGGGGGGGTAGGGAAACAAGACGGGTACTGGAGGCAAGGTTTTGGGAAAGGATGATGAATCTGAGAACGAGGTCTACTTACCCACGCAAGGTTTTGGGGTGACTTTTGAGTCGACTCAAAAATCACCTTCTTACCCACACAAGGTTTTGGGAGGGGATGTTGAAAGAACGAGAAGGGAACGGTGCCAAAAGCTGAGAGGGGTTGGCTCATTATGTAAAAGAAAATGCAGCTAGAAGCACATAGAAAGAGCGTTACAAGCAGGCGTGCAAACCAGTTCAGGGTGGTTGGTGGGCTTGGTGCCCCTCTGACGGTGGTAGTCCAAGGGAATGTCAGGAGCTGTGTAGGGTGGCGCAAGGTGGTGAGTGAGGTGTGGCAGTATGTGCGCTACTATTAGCTAGGAGGAACAGGCATACAGGAATCACCTGCTCAGGAAGGTTGGTGGTGCCGTTCTGCTGGTGGTAGTCCAAGGGAATGTCAGGAGCTGTGTAGGGTGGTGACTCAAGGGGGTGAGGTGCGGCAGCATGTGGGCTACTACTTGCTAGGACGAACAGGCATGAGGACTGACTCACCTGCTCAGGGTAGTTGGTGCCGTTCTGCTGGTGGTAATCCAAGGAAATGCCAGGAGCCGTGTAGGGTGACTCAAGTCTCAAGGGGGGGTGTGTGTGTGACAGCATGTGGACTTCTACGCTAACACAAGCAGGCATCAGGACGGACTGACCTGCTCAGGGTGGTTGGTGCCATTCTGCTGGTGGTAATCCAAGGGGATGTCAGGAGCCGTGTAGGGTGACTCAAACGGGGGCCCTGTCAGCTCTGGATCTGGCACTGCACGGTAGGCCACTCCCTGCGCTGTAAGCACACTCGGGGGAGGAAGGTTTCCGGGAGAGAAGGTGTTGAATGGAGGGGGAGGGGGGGGGGGGGGGGAGGAGAACAGAAGGGAGGGAGAGAATGGAATGAAGGGATGCCACTCCTTCCGCTGCAAGCTGTCTCAGTATAAATGCAGCAGACGGAACGCGTCTTCTGCAGACCTACTGTCGATAATACAGGCCAAAAGAGAATGATGACTTGCGTTTGATCTCACTGCACCACTCTAAACGCATCCATCTGCCATTGAGCCGACTCAAAAGCAGAAGTGCATGTGGTCTCACATCACACACACTGCACGCTGCACAGCTCTGCATCCACCTGCATCCATCCATCCATCCATCCATCCATCCATCGCTGAAACACTCAGTGAATTTTTCTTTTGAGAATTCTAAAAAATGACTCCACTGCACAGCTCTGCATCCATCCATCCATCGCTGAAACAGAAACCTTCAGTGAAGTTTTGAGGTGACTTTTGAGTCGACGAGGTGACTTTTGTTTGAGTCGACTCAAAAGTCACTTCGCTGCACAGCTCTGCGTCCACCTACGTACATCCATCCATCCATCCATCCATCCATCCATCCATCCATCGCTGAAAGAGAGAAATTCAGTGAGTTTTGCTGTCTTTCCCCAAAACTCTAACATGTAGCGGGTTCCACGAATCCACCCGAAAACTAAGTCCCTAACACCAGAATAGGCACTCGAGTAGGCCTTCAAACGTCGCTTACTTACCCGGAGGAGGCTGATTGGCCTTCAAACGTCGCGTACTTACCCGGAGGAGGCTGATTGGCCTTCAAACGTCGCGTACTTACCCGGAGGAGGCTCATTGGCCTTCTCCTGCTTCTGCTCATTCCATGGCTGCCGCTGCTTCTTTAGCGTCGGCTTCTGCAGAGCATTAACGGTAGCTTCACTCGCATAGGAAAATCCGACTCCTCTCAGGCCAAGGCTGCTCGGAGAAACGCTCCTTCCAGCGACGCCGCCGTCAGAAATGGTACCAGTGATGCTGCTGTCAGAAACGCTACTAGAGATGCTGCTGGAAAAGCCGTCATTTTCCGTTATGGCTTCCTGCTGATGTGGCCGTGCCACGTCAGCTGAACGCAGGTGAAGCACGCCGGGGAAGAACGGCCTGGCGGAGAAAGGCTGGGCAGAGAACGGCCTGGCAGAGAGCGGCCTGGCGGAGAATCCCGCGCACGCGGTAACGCCGGCGAGGAGCAGCAACGGGAGGAAGACGCCGCGGAACCCCGACATATTGCGGACGCAGAAATGTCTAACACTTGAATTCGCGCTGTCAGGGCGGTGCAGCGATTCAGCGATGCTCAGCGACGCGCGAGGCGAGAGAAAGTACGACGCCGCACCACGAGAGAAGGGTGCGACGAATAGCTAGGCGCGATCCAAGACCCCGCGACGCGGCAGCAGTCCTCCTGATAAAGAAAAGGCAGAAAGCTGATGGGCTCACGGCAGCAGAAGCAGGAATCCACAAAATATTGTGGCATCCTATGTGCGAATCTTTGAAGCGGATTCACGATTTCCACGAGCCCCCTGGGAATGTCGCGGGTCACGCAAGGGCTCTGCGAAACAAGCTGCCGGGGACGACGAACGAGCGAACTGATGACATGAAGGTTGAAAGGTTACAGCAAGGCTTGCAATATAGAAACCTTTTAGCTAAATAATGACAAACACCAGAACATTCATACAACAAACCTAACACAAATTTGCATGGATTTGGACCATTGATCACTACATCCCCTACATCTAAACGAATAAATAGCCCTCACAAGCCAACTCATATTTCACGAATATTACTGATGCTGCTGCTGCTGCTGGCCTTGTGCTGCCCTCCTAACCTGGTACTGCTGCCATTCGGACGATCCCTTTCCGCCAAAATCCCCACTATTACTAATGTTACCACTTCCTCCCGACCCTCGCAACTGTTCACTCCCAGGCTGTTGCCAGTGCGGCTGCATGTACTGCTGAGGGGGAGGTGGGGAAACCCCATGCCCTCCCCCTCCGTACATCGAACCCGGACCATTATACCTCCCCCCACCTCCTCCCCCCACATTGTAACTACTGGATACTGGTGCGTTACTGTAACTTTGATGCATGTACTGATTCGATGAAGGATGCTGCCGCTGCTCCCACTCTCCCGTTGACATTGTCCGTCCGATTCCTCCCAGCCCTACTTGCCCCCCCATATAATCACCATATCCACTACCACTGCCACCACTGCCACTGGCACCACTGAACCCCCCCCGTCCCAAGCCCGACCCTGGTCCGGGACCCATACCAGGTCCCGAACCTGGAACCATACCTGATCCCGAGCCTGGTCCCGTGCTTGGGCCCATGCCTCCTCGCACATCCCCTCTCATGCCACCAGGATAACCACCGCCACCACCAGAGCCATGGGCTGACGACCCATACATACCCATGCCCTCTGCATTCTGCTCCCACCCTCCCCCCATCCGCCCCCCTCCCCCTCCTCCTCCCCCTCCCCCTCCCCCTCCCCCTCCTTGCCACATCTGCTGCTGGTATTGGCTGGGCGGCGGGGCATAGTGATCGTAGGAACGCTGGGAGTAGGAAGGGTTTTGCTGGGGGTGGTGGTAGGGGTTTTGCTGCGAAGAGTAGGGGTATGGGCCGCGTGATTGCTGCTGGGGAGCCGTGTGGGGGCCTTGAAGGGATGAGAAGTGATGCGGGTGGTGTTCGTGGGGAGGGATGGAGAGGGAGGAGGCTCGATGTGGGGAGACGTCCCTGCTCAGGGCGAAGGGTGGGGAATGGAGGTGGAAAGAACGAGAGGAGGAAAGAAAGAGAGTGAAGAAAGAGAGGAAAGAAAGAGAGGAAAGAAAGAGAGGAAAGAAAGAGAGGAAAGAAAGAGAGGAAAGAAAGGGAGGAAAGAAAGAGAGGAAAGAAAGAGAGGAAAGAAAGAGAGGAAAGAAAGAGAGGAAAGAAAGAGAGGAAAGAAAGAGAGGAAAGAAAGAGAGGAAAGATGAGAGGATAGGTGGGGTAGGACATGTCGAAATGTGGTCGTGAGGAGGGATGGAGAGAGAGGAGGCTCGATGTGGGGAGTCATCCCTGTTCTGAGGTGCTGGGTGGGGAAGGGAGGTGGGAAATTAAGCGTTAGGGTGGGCTGCAGCGAAGCGTTTTTCCTCTTCGCTGCAGCCCACCCTAACGCTTTATGGCTACAGGCTCGATGTGGGGAGTCATCCCTGCTCAGGGGTGCTGGTTGGGGAAGGGAGGTGGGAAAGAGGGGAAGGATGAGAGGGAAGGGATGAGAGTAAGGGCGGGTTATGATATCTCAAAACGCGGCCATGAGGAGGGATGGACATGGAGGGGATAAGTGTCATGGAGAGTCCAGTTTTGAGGCGTCTCAAAAATAGACTATTATCGATTGGGGAAGAATGAGAATAGACGTGGCAGAGGTGGAGGGGATAAGTTTTGAGGCGCCTCAAAGATTGTGTAAGAATGAGAATAGACGTGGCAGAGGTGGAGGGGACAAGCATCATAGAGAGTAAAAAGGAGAGCCTCTCACCTCTGGTTCCAATGCCCCATCGGCCCTCCACCCCCATAGGCCTCCCCACCGCCATACCCATCACCGCTACCCCCCCTCGCACTCAAATGATGAGGCGGAGGAGGGGGAGAAGGGCCATGTGGCCCCCCATACATCCCCCCACCGCCCCCAACACCTCCAGTACCACCACCGCTGCTGCCCCTGCCACCGCCACCCATGCCACCATCATCAAACAGCGGTTTGGCCCGCCCATAAGAAGATGGGGATTGGGGAGGGGAAGGCTCGGGAGACCGTCTCGATATAAGCTGATCCTGTACAGGCTGCCGCTGCTCCATCCCTCTGTACTGTAGCTGGTGTTGTGGGTGCTGCTGCTGCTGATGCTGCAGCTGCGGATGATGCTGCTGGTTCTGGAGGTGGTAGGGAGGAGTACCCTGGGGAGCATACGCACTGGCATCAGCCTCTGACGCGGTCCTCCTCGAGTTGTACCCTTCCCTCTCCCTCTCCCTCTCCCTCTCCCATTCTCGCCCTCTCTCCCTCTCCCGTTCTCTCTCCCGGTCATATGACGAGTACCCATCCTGCTCCATCCCATGGGATTTCCCACCACCACTGTACGGCCGATCCCCCGCTCCCTCACTCTCCTCCAGATACGTCCCTTGGTCTGGTAGAGAAGGCATGCCATGGCTGTACGTGCGTGATGACTCCCGACTAGGCCGGCTGCGTGGAGGGGTGAGAGGGCCGGAAAGGGATTTTTGCTTGCCTCGTGGCGGGGATTTGACAGGGTAATTGATGCTGTTGTTGCTGTTGCTGCCTGTGAGCCCCATGCTCTGAAGCTCACTGGATGCAGGGCTCCGCGTGCGATCCAGTGGCAGCTGCTGCTGCTGCTGCTGCTGCTGAAAATGAGGAGGGGCGGGAGGTGAGGTTCGGTTGTCCTGGCTCGGGAAAAGAGGCTCGGGGCCTGGGCCACCAGCAGAAGCACCCGAACCAGAAGCACCAGAAGCAGTTCCTCCTGGGAACAAAGGCTCCGGCTCACTCCTACCACTGCCACCACCACCGCCACCACCACCGCCGCCACTACCACTGCCACCAAACAAGGGCTCTGGGCCATTCCTGCCACCGCCACTGCCACCGCCACCGCCACCACCACCACCGCCGCCGCCGCCACTACCACTGCTCCCGAACAAGGGCTCTGGGCCATTCCTGGCACTGCCAGCACTAGCACCATTACCAGCAGCACCAGGTGCAAAAAAGGCCTCTGCATGATCCACCATCTCTCTCAGGTCAACTGTAGGGCTGCTGCGCGTCCTAGCAGGTGGTAACACTCCTCCCCCCACTCCCATACCCCCTCCTCCTCCTCCCGTGCCTCCAAACCCTCCCCCTTCCTCCCCTCGTAGATAACCGGGCTGCGGACTCAGCCTCCCACCGCCACTGGCTGCCAAGCCTGCAGCCGAGCCTGGACCATAGGGTGGTCCGGCGCTGTACTCCCGAGCAGCCATGTCGTCTGTCCATCCGTACCGACCAGGTCCGGAGTGCATCCCAGGTCCGGACAATGCCGGACCTGAGGGGCCGGATGGATTTGGGCCAGAATCGCGCCAGGGGAGGGGCTGCTGCTGCTGCTGCGGCTGCTGCTGATGGTGCAGTAGCTGCTGTGGCTGCTGCTGATAATATAAGGGCTGCTCCCACGAAGGGGGGTAAGAGGGTTGAGAGGGGACCGACCTAAGGAGGGGAGTGGAGGGGAGAATGGAGGGAGGGTGAAAGATCAGGATAGAGTAAGAACAGAGGTAGGCGAAGGAAGAGCAGATGGGATAAAGTAGCGGGGGGGAGCGGGAAGACGGGGGGGAATAGGCTAACCTGGGAAAGCGAGGAGCGTCCATGTGGCCTGCACTGCACTCACTCATCCACCCTGCACTCATGCCCCCCGCCCCTATGGCCATGTGATGGGAATGGGTGCCTCTGGGCCCGCCAGGAACACGGCGCGAGGGGTCCAGGAGGAGGCAGTTGCAGGGACACAGGTGGTGCACGGGCTTACCTGGGAGAGCGAGGAGCGTCCATGTAGCCTGCGTTCATCCCCCCTGCCTGCACTCATGCCCCCTGCCTGCACTCACCCCCCCTGCACTTATCCCCCCTGCACTCATTCCTCCGCCACTCATGCTCCAGCTGCTACGGGCATGGGGAGGCAACCCACAGGCCCCGCCACAAAGACGTGGTGCATGAGCTCATGGGCGGGGCGGCGGTGGGAGGGGTCAACAGCGAGACAGTTGCAGAGACATAGGCGGTGCTTAAGCTTACCTGGGAGAGCGAGGAGGAGCGTCCATGTGGCCTGCGTTCATCCCCCCTGCACTCATGCCCCCTGCACTCATCCCCCCACCACTCATGCCCCCCGCCCCTAAGGGCATGGGGACGGGGCCAGCTGGGCCCGCCACGAAGACGTGGTGCATGAGCACATGCGCAGGGCGGCGGCGGGAGGGGTCCACTGAGAGGCAGTGGAGGAGAAAGTCCTTGGCACAGTCTGACAAGTGGCTGGGGAAGGGCGGGGAGGTTGTGGTGCCTCCAATGCGCAGGATAGCTGCCATCTGTGGGGGGGGGAGGGGAGGAGGGAGAGAGGAAGACAGAGGGGGAGGAGGGCGGGGAGGGAGGGAAAGTGGGGGTTCTAGGAGTCGTGGACAAGAGAGGCAGTGGAGGAGAGAGATCATGGCGCAGTGTGTGTGAGTGGTGGCTGGGGAGGACCGAGCGGGATGTGGTGCTGGCGGGATAGCAGCCATGGGGAGAAAAAGGGGGGAAACATTTTTTACCCAGCGTTTGAAGAACATGTGTTGTGTCACAAAAGGCACCGAATAGCCTCCATCTACTCACTTACCCCATCAGTGGGATTGGCCCCCCAGGGCGGTCTGCCCTCGGGGTCGAGCCATGGGATGCGCAGGCGCTTATCGACCACCCTCATGGCCATCTCGATGATGGTGCATCCCAGGCTCCAGATGTCCACCGGCCAGTTGTAGCCTTCCTCCCGCCGATTGATCACCTGGGGGGGGGGGGGGAAGGGGGGGGGCAGGACAACACGCATCCAAGGTGGAAGTTTGAAAATCTGGTGTATTGGATTGAATGACTTTTGAGTCGACTCAAACCAAAGTCAGCTTGAAAATCTGATGTATTTAACTTGTACCCCTCCTCCCGCCGGTTGATCACCCGGGGGGGAAACAAGGGAAGGGGTTTAGTCGATTTTGTGACATGTTGATGATCTAAGGATGGGAGGATAGGATGGCAATCGCAATAGCAGTGCCATCCCACTCACACCGCGGGTGCCATCCCGCTCACCTCGGGTTCCATCCCATGCCATCCGCTCACCTCGGGTGCCATCCACCACACGGTGCCCCGCATGCCTGACATGTCTGCTGGCGTTTCCACCTGGTGGCGTCCCCACCTGGCGTCACTCACCTCACCTTATGCCTCCAATTGGTACAAGACTCACCTCGGGTGCCATCCACCACACAGTGCCCCGCATGCCCGACATGTCTGCTGGCGTTTCCACCTGGTGATGCGATACGTGGTCATGGCGTGGCGTGGCATGGCATGGCATGGGTTCGGACGGGATGGGATGGGATGGGATGGCATGGGGTCAGACGGGATGGGATGGGATGGGATGGGATGGGATGGGATGTGATGTGATGTGATGTGATGTGATGTGATGTGATGTGATGTGATGTGATGTGATTTGATGTGATGGGATGGGATTGGCGGGATAAATTGAGAAGGGATCAGACAGAAGGGGAATGCTATCGGTTAGTACAAGGGGGATGGGATGGGATGGGATGGGATGGGATGGGATGGGATGGGATGGGATGGGATGGGATGGGATGGGATGGGATGGGATGGGATGGGATGGGATGGGATGGGATGGGATGGGAATTGAAGAAAATTGGGAACGTGGTTTGTATTGTATGTACGGTGGAACCGGAAGGAACAAGATGGCATGGCTGGCAAGGTGCATCCAGGCCAGGGCGGCAGCGAGCACCCAGGACGGCAGCGAGCATCCAGGGCGGCAGCGAGCATCCAGGGCGGCAGCGAGCAGTTGATAGGGGAAGGAGATAAGGCATGAGAGTTGAGGGAGATAGAAGGGAAGGGGAAAAAGAGGAGGGGAGGGGAGAGGGGTTGGGGGGACGAGAGAGAGATGTCTTACGTATTTCGCTACGCCAAAGTCAGCCAGCTTGGCGTTCCCCTTGGTATCTAGCAGGATGTTCTTCCCCTTCACGTCTCTGCAAGCCCGGGAGAAGCAAAGGCATGGAATGGGGGGGACGCCGTCACACGGGTCCTGTTTAGAGCTGCCTCAAAACAGCCAGCCAGCTTGGCGTTTCCCCTGGTATCTAGCAGGATGTTCTTCCCCTTCACGTCACTGAAGGTTCGGAGGGCAAGCAAGACAGGAGAGGAAAACACTCCATCGTTCGTGAGAAACCGTATGTTCTCATCTCACGAACCCACGAATGTTTTGTATGTTCTGCTGCCCATCCAGTTTTGAGGCGCCTCGAAACTGAAGTGCCCATCCGTCCAGCCTCCAGCACCCACCCACCAACCCACCCACCGACCTGTCCGCCCACCTACCACCTGGCCGCCCATCTACCCACCCGACTGCCCACCCACACACCTTGCATGATACCGTTCTCATGGAAAATCGCCGGCTCTTCCTGCAGCTGCCCCCAACCCCCAAATTCCCCCCTCCATTTTCTCTTCCCCACCCTCCTCCCAACAAAATTTCACCCACCTGAGCACGATGTTGTTGTCAAGCAGGTACGCCAGCCCTTCCCGCAGCTGACCCCCCTTTCCCCCCTTCTCTCTCCCCTAACTCCCCTCGTTCCCAACCAACCCACCCACCCTCCCACCCACCCACCGGTGCACGATGTTGTTGTCATGCAGGTACGCCAGCCCTTCCAGCGGCTGACCCCCCTTTCCCCCCTTCTCTCTCCCCTAACTCCCCTCGTTCCCAACCAACCCACCCACCCTCCCACCCACCCACCGGTGCACGATGTTGTTGTCATGCAGGTACGCCAGCCCTTCCTGCAGCTGACCCCCCTTTCCCCCCTTCTCTCTCCCCTAACTCCCCTCGTTCCCAACCAGCCCACCCACCCTCCCACCCACCCACCGGTGCACGATGTTGTTGTCATGCAGGTACGCCAGCCCTTCCAGCAGCTGCCGCGTGTACTTTGAGATCTGGTGCTCCTCCAAAGGGCCGAAATCCTCCAGGTACTTGGAAAGGGACGTGTCCATGTACTCGAGAAAGAGGTACATGCACTTGTCGTCCTGGGGGGGCAAGGGGGGGGGGAATGGGGGGGGGATGTGGGGGGGGGGGAGAGGGTGGGGGGAGGCAAGGGGGAGACATGGGAGATACTTTGAGATCTGATGCTCCTCCAGCGGGCCGAAAGCCTCCAGGTGCTTGGAGAGGTACGTGTCCATGTACTCGAGAAAGAGGTACATGCACTTGTCGTCCTTGGGAGGGGGGGAAGGACAGGGGGGGGGGGGGGAGGGGGAGAGCGTGGGGTTGGGAGGCAAGGGGGAGACACAGGAGGTACTTTGAGATCCTCCAAGCACTTGGAGAGAGGCGTGCCCATGTACTCGAGAAAGAGGTACATGCACTTGTCGTCCTGGGGAAGGAAGGGTGGGGGGGAAGGCGAGGGGGAGATAAAAGAGGGAGAGGATTGAGAGAAAGCCTCTGGAATACAATGAGAGAGTGATGTGTACAAGTACTCGAGAAAGAGGTACATGAACTTGTCGTCCACGGGAAAGAAGGGGGGAGGGAGGCGAGGGGGGAGAGGCGAGGGGGGAGAGGCGAGGGGGGGATAAAAGAGGGAGAGGAGAATTAAGAAAAAACCTGGAACACATGTAGAGAGTGATGTGCCCATGTCCGTGGGAAAGAGGTCCATGCACTGCTTCACTAGTTGACTTTTTCACAAGCCGACAAGCTGGCAACTCACTGTTTCCGAGCCGAGGTAGCGGACTATCCGCTTGTGGCGCATTTTCTTCAAGGTGTCGATTTCCTGTGGTCAGGTCAAGTGGAGAGTGGGATGAAAACGGTAGTGGGTAAGAACGCATGCAATGCAATGCAACGTATGCGTGTGTGCGCGATTGTGTGTGTGTGTGTGTGTGTGTGTGTTTGTGTGTGTGTGTTTGAGAGTGGGAGTGTGTGGGAGTGTGTGTTTGTGTGTGTGCGCACGTGTGAGAGTGGGGTGGGGGGTTTGGGGCCGAGGCCGGGAGGGATGGAGGTCAGAGAAGGGAGTTTGATTTGGGGTGCAGGCTGGTGGGTTGGGGTTGGGGGGGGAATGGGGGCATCGAAATTGGATCGGCCAAAAGAAGGGTGCGGTAGCTGCTGCTAACGCAATAAGGCAAAAGCACACGCACACATATGCCCCCCCCCTCTCCCCCCCCCACACCACAGACACACACAAGGCACTGTGTGCAGTCGCACCTGCAGGTGACTTTTGAGTCGACTCAAAAGTCACCTACAGACACACAACTGGCACTGTGTGCAGTCGCACCTGCACAAGCTGAGAGATAGAGGAGTGGTCGGAGATGTTGACCTCCTTGACAGCAAACACACGCGAGGTTTCCCTGATGGGCGGGAGAAGAGAGGAGGGGAATGGGGGAGCATAGTTCAAAGAGAAGAGGGGGAAGCACGTGTGTCTCGTCATAGGGGATGATGAGCGTATGTATGTGAGGAGTGGTCGGAGATGTTGACCTCCTTGACAGCAAACACATGCGAGGTTTACCGTTTCCCTGAGGGGAGGTGGAAAGAGGGGGGGGAGGGGGAGAAGGAACGGCGAACGCGTGGCTTATGAGAACACAGTGGAAGAGGAGTGGCCCTTTCCAAAATAAGTAGTAAGCAACGGAGAACGCTCAGCCCAAAATACATCCAGAAAATAGAAAATAGAAAACAGAACATTTGCATCCTTCAAGTCAAGCAGCCTTGAAACACTTACAGGTCACAGCCTCTGTACACTGATCCAAATCCTCCCGACCCAATTCTACTGCCCTTCTTTCACCTGCCCTGGAAACTTACTTCCAAGGTCAAAATCTTTCGACATTGAAACCAACCGGCGTATAAGCAGCCCCTCGGGACACTTACAAGTCGCAGCCTTTGTACACGGATCCAAATCCCCCTGAACCAATCCTGCTGCCCTTCTTCCACCGGCCCCTCTGAGGCACCCAAGGGTCGCCCTCCTCATCCATCCCTCCCCTCTCACTCCCCGACCCCTCCCACATGCTGCTCGCCCCTGACCCCTGGCTGATTATGCTCCTGCTGCTGGCACTCATAAGAGATCCAGCCCCCAGGGAATTCCCACCAGATCCCCCGCCAGCAGAGGCAGCGGCTGACGCTGAGCCTGCTGTGACTGTAGGAGAGCCTCCTGGGGGCACGAGCATGGAGCCCTCGTTAGTGGAACCTCCCCTGGAGAGGTTTCCAGGGGTGGCCTGGCCTGGGGAGGTTGGGTAATGGGAGGAGGTTTGGCTGGAGGTTCGGGGGAATGGTGGTGGCTGAAATTGCTGCTGCTGCTGCTGCTGGTACTGCTGCTGGTGCTGCGGCTGCCAGGGTGGGGCGGTGTCAGGATTCGAGGTTTGACTGGACGACTTGGGGAATTGCTGCCAGGGAAGCATGCCTTCCCTCCCGAGCTGCTGCTGCACCTGCTGCCCTAGTGGCTGCCCCATTTGCTGGCCCATCTGCTGCCCCAAAGGCTGCCCTAACTGCTGGCCGAACGGCTGACCTAGTTGCTGCCCCATTTGCTGCCCTAACGGCTGCCCCATTTGCTGCTGCCCCAAATGCTGCCCGAAGCCCAGCCCTCCTGGCGGCCCTGCAACATCCCTCCCCGGCCCCTCATTCATCGAGCTCACCCTAGACACCCGTCCAGGGGTGGACGTTTGGCTGGACGACTTGGGGAACGCCGGGTTCTGAGGCACAGGTGCGTCAAACGGAAGCAGCGGCCTGTCTGCTGCTCTAGGGGAGGCTACAGGGGACTTGGTGAGGGAGATTGGGATTTTGTCGAGCTTTGGCACGCGGGGGTTGATCCGCAAGGGCGAGGCGGATCGAGTCTGGAGCTTGGAGCTGCTGGCTGGTGTGATGGTGCCTCCTGGATGGGTCATCATGCCCCCTGGTGACGTCATTCCCATTCCTCCCCCCATTCCTCCGCCCATCCCTCCTCCCATTCCTACGCCCATTCCTGCGTCCATCCCACCGCCCATCCCTGCTCCCATTCCTGCGCCCATCCCTCCGCCCATCCCTGAACCAGCCGCTCCGCCCATCCCGCCTCCAAACCCCCCACCCATCCCGCCACTCCCTTGCCGATTCAGCACAGAGCTCCCAGCAACGCCAGCAGCAGGAAACGGCGCACCTGGTGGCGAGGACGATCCGTAGCGGCCAGAAGGGGAGGTGCCGGTTGACGAGGCTGACGTGGCTGCTACAGCCGAATTAGGAGCTGCTACAGATGCTACAGCAGGCATGGGAGAGGAAACTGGCAGGAGGGGAGTCATCCGGGGGCTGTGCTCCTGGGATCCGCCACCGAATAGAGCAACGGCCGCTCCAGAAGTAGATACGGATCTCCCAGCCATGAGGGGACTGACAACCCCACCACCCCCACCACCGCCCCCACCAACACCAGCAGCAGCACCCACACCCACACCAGCAGCAGCGCCGCCCATTCCGCCTGCGCCTAGACCTACATGGATCAACGGCGGAGCCTCCTGGGGCAAAGGGCGCTTCACAGAAACGGCTTCGAGGTCGCGGGAAGGGGAGGAGTGCACAGGGAAGAGCGCACGGACAGGTGAATTGGACGTACTGGGCTCGTTGGCATGCGGCCCTGGAGCTGGCACTGCTGCTGCTGCTGCTGCTGCTGCTGCTGCTCCTGCTACTAATCCTGGCCCGAAACCTGCCGCCGATGCGTCTGCTCTCCCACCCATGGACCCAGAGCCGAGAGCCGCTACCTGTCTTGCCGGAGGGAGGGGAAGGGGGCTGGAGGATTGAGCCCGTCTGTCTGGAGACATGGTGGACGAAGGCCCTTGCTCCAGCGGAAGCAACGGCTGTTTCGCAGGAGACGAATGCGCACTAAACGGCCCTCCTGCTGCCGCTGATGCCATACCCATACCCCCTGCTCCTCCTCTTCCTGCTGCTGCCCCTCCCCTTGCCGCTCCTCCCGCCCCTGCTGCTGCGCCCATGGATGATGCTTCTGGGGGCGTGGACGGGCCGCTACGAGGAGAGGGAGGAGAGGGAGGAGAGGAAGAGCCGGATGGACCTATAGGGGGCGCGACTGGCAGCGGCGGCAGAATGTGCCTCCCTGCAGCACCTGTCGCGTTCGCCGCTGCTTTCCCCACATCCGGGGGGAAGGATTTCGACACCTGGAGCGACGGCGCGTTGGGGTCCGGCCCCGCGTGCAACGCCTTTAACTCCTCCTCCGTGTCCGTCTTCAGATCCCCCGCGAACCCCCACGGGGTAGACTCTCCCCCCCCGCCAACTCCCCCCGTCATAGACGCCGGCCGCCTCCGCCTCTCCCCCTCCTCCCTCGCCCCGCCGCTCTTCCCCGCGCCGACGTCTCCGCTTGCTGTCCGGCCTAGGCGCTTGGAGTCGTTCTGAGGCGAGTCGAAGCCTTTCCTACTGGAAGAGTCCATCTTGGGCCGTTCGCCTTCGTAAGGCAGCCTGACCCATTCGCCCTCGTGAGGCGATCTGCCGTCCGCGACCTTCCAGAAGACTCTGCTCGCGCCGTCGAAGCGGAACCAGACCTTGTGCCGGTCGTCCCAGAGGCAGTAACGGCTGCTGATCTTCCGAGCGTCCCCGTACGGATCCCGTGGCGGAGACAGGGAGAACCGCGAGGATCCGTTGCTACTGCCGCCGCCGCTGGTGGTGGTGGTGGTGGTGCTGTTGCTGGTGCTGTTGCTGTTGCTGTTCGAGCTGCCATAGCTGGAAGGACGAGAGCTCGCGCCTGGACCAATACCCTGATGATTATAACCGCTGGCTGGGTCTTCTCCCGGTGGTGAGGCAGAGTTTGCTCCTGTCCACCTAGCGGCCTGCGACGGCGAACCCTCAATCGCTCCGTTTGCACCGTGCGAAGAGTCACCACCATCTGTACTCTGGGACTGAGGAGAGCTTATAACGGGGATACGACTCCTGCTGCTCTCCGGCGATCTGCTCTCCTTCGTCTTGCCTGCGCCAGCTCCCGATGCTCCAGCAGAGGCGCGAACAGGACTACCACCACGACTACCCCCACTGCCGCCACCGGTGCTGTTGCTACCAGCACCTTTAGTCCAGCCGAAGATGGAGAGGCGTGGCCGGCTGGGTTTGCCGCTTTCAGAGTCGGAAATGCCTGAGTCGGATGGGTGTGGGTGCGACGTGATTGGTTGCGGGTGGGAGGTGGCTGGTTGCGGGTGAGAGGCGGTTGGTTGCGGTTGAGAGGTTTTTGTCGCGGAAGCGATGCTTTCCCACCGCTTTCCCGGGCATTTCGTCAGCATAGGTTTGGCATCCATGGCAGCAGCGCTGGCTAGCGTGAGGAGCGAAATTCCCTGGCAGTCGTCGTGCCTGGTTCCCAGCGCTGCCTGGTTGCCGAAACCCCTTCACTCGGAAAGCGCGAAGCCGTAGTGATGATCGCAGTGCCCGGAAGCGATAAAGCAGAGACGCAATCAGGACATCATGCAAGAGCAGAAATGTAAGCAGGGTAACGGCTGCATGGAAGGAGGTGATAAGGATGAACGACGGATGGACGGGAGGAGCTGATAAGGCCTGGAATGCGTCAGTGACTATAATTAGGGGTTGGGCAGCAAAGGCATCCCGGAAGGGATCCAGAAATATAAGATCTTGGGATAGCCGGCTTGATATTAGTCTCTACTTTCCCACCAACTGAACCGCTGAGCAGCTGTTGATAACCGAAGTCGCTTCTTCATACTACTACCTGCCTTACACCGACAATCCCTACAGAACCACAATCAATCCCTGAAAACTATGAGTGGAGTACTTTGAACCGTACACTATGAGAGGTCTAGGGATTGCCGAAGTCAAGGGAACACCTAGCAAGTCATTTCCCGCCAATTTCTAGATTATCAGTCCCAGGCCGAACAAGAAGCCTTCGGGATTACTTCGTCCTAGGGTTTGCCGGTCTTCCAACAGTGTTTTGTTGTAAGTTTGCTGATTACCCGCTATACCTGACTTCTTTACATGACGCGTGTGGGAGGAGCTTGACTAGCTTGACTTTGCTCCTAAACAAAAGTGCACCTCACACTAAGTCATCCCATTTCAAATGGCATTTTCTAATGTTGCGTTATGGTTTATGGTATTTTTTCTGATGGTCTGAACAACCACCAAGTACACTAAATATATTGTGAACCTTGACTGTAATACTTGTTGGGCTGAGAAAAGCCCTAGGATCTTTTCAGACACTAAGTCCCACTTGTATGAAATGCTTGAGTAGTGCAACGGAAGAGTTGATTAGTTGAACCCTTGCACTAGTATGTGAGAGCAAGTGATTGATTAAAAGAAGCAAGCACACAGGAATATATAGAGAATAGGAAATAGAGCAGTTGTAGAATACAGTTGAAGAAACGGTTATCGAGTCGCACAGCGACTCGATCGTTGGTTCGGTTACCATCCTTGCAGTCGCAACGATCGGTCGCAACCTCCTGTTGCAACCCTTCGAGTCCCTTCGTCCTTTCGTGTTCTTTCGTCCAACCTCCTCGTGTAACCTCCGTTGACTCGCGTACTCAATACGACATTTCTTCGAGTGCAGTGTTACACTTCAGAAACGCTTAAGTCATCGAGGTATTTCCAACACTCCCCTTCTTTTCTGGACTGCTGGCGTGTCCGAATTCGGTGACGTTTATCTGCCCCGTCAGCAGCATGCAGTAGTCGAACTTTGCCTTTGCCAGTTTCTTCGTCAGGTAATCTGCAGCCATTTCTGTCGTGGGGCAGTAACAGAGTTGAGGTCTCCCCTTCGCGATCTCATCCTTGACGAAGAAATACCGCAGAGCGATGTGCTTGGTTCGATTGGCGAACCTGTTTTTGTTCACGATTTTGATCGCGGATTGGTTGTCGCAAAATAGCGAGAAGACGAGCATGGTCGCGATTTGCGCTTCCTCGAGTAGCTCCCGTAGGTAAAGTCCTTATTTGGTCGCAGAGCAGAGAGCGATGTATTCCGCTTCAGCCGAGGATAGCGCGATTAGTTCCTGCTTGCTCGATTGCCAGGAGATAGTCCCGATAGGCTCTAGTCGGTAGATGTAGCCCGTTCTGGAGCGACGATTCTCCCTATCTCCCGCGTGGTCGGCGTCGACGTACCCGAGTAGCTGTACGGACGATGGCGTTACTTTGCTGTAGGTAAGTCCGGTCGTCGGCGTAGAGACGAAGTGGAGCAGTGCCCGATTTAGCTCCTCGAGATCCTCTTGCTCCGGCTCCTTCAGGTGTGTCGCCAGTTGGCTCGCGCTGTAGGACATATCCGGTCGGCAGGTTACTGCTGCGAACAGTAGACAGCCGAGCTTCTGTTGATATTCCTGAATTTGCTTCGCGGGGAGCTTTGCGGAGGTTTCGCGGTTGTTCCCGTAGCGATAAGGAGTCGCGGCTGTGACTGGCGTTAGGCCGAAATTTCTTCGCGACAACGCCTGCGTATTTTCCGGCGTGTAGGTGGAACGCCGAGTCGTCTTCGACGATGTTTAAACCTAGCTACTAGATCACGGTGTCTGACACCGTGAGTGTTAAGTCACTCCTCAGCTCCCCTTCGAACGAGGTGGCGACATCGGTAGTGGAGCCGACGTAGAGTAGGTCATCGACGTAGACGATGAGTAGGACGAAGTCCCCCCCCTTTTGTAGTCGGTACATGCCTTGTTCGTGCGGCAGCTGCAGAAAACCGATCCTTACGAGGCGGCCGTGAAGGTGCTGTTGCCAGAGCCGCGGGGCTTGTTTAATTCCGTAGAGGGATTTTACCAGCTGGCATACTTTTGTGGGATCGTCGATGAATCCGTGGGGCTGCTCGACGAAGATTTCGGCGTCCACAGGTGCGTACAGGAAGGCGTTGGCGACATCGATCTGGCGCAGTGGTAGTTTTTTCGTGGCCGCGACGGCGAGCAGAATGCGCAAGTAAGTATGTCGGGAGACTGGGGTGAATGTCTCTGTGTAGTCAGTTCCGTATCGCTGGTCGAATCCTCGTACAACCCAGCGAGCTTTGAAGCGGTCGATGGAGCCATCCGCATTAGTCATGATGCGGTACACCCATTTCCCCGAGAGCACATTCTTCCCGTTGGTTTTTGTGCAGGTACCAGCTTCCACGTATTTCGGTCTTGCAGGGCCTTTAGTTCTTTTTCCATTGCTTCCTTCCATTTCGCCTTGTGTTCCCCCCCAGAGCCTGCGACAGAGTCGTTGGCTTGCGTGGTGACGGCGGCGGCGGGTTCTGGACGGCGACCCATAGTCTAAGTATCTGCAGGCCCGTGGGTGTGTGTCGAGGGGAAATTGTCATTCTCAGGATAAGCTGCTTCATCACCGTCGGGGTCAGGTAACAAATTGGGTCCGATGCGTTCGAAGATATTTGTGTCGACTGGTTGAGGTGTAGTGTAACCTTGGTCAGCGAAGTGGTAATAAGTGTCGAGGTTGTTACTATCGAGAGGATTGTCGTCGTCGAGTGGAACGGGCACGGAGCAGTATGGTAGTGGTCCGGCAGCTTCCGAGGCTTCAGGTACGTCTTCTTCTGCTGCGTCAGCTTCGGCAGCACGGTCGGCGAAGGACCGATGGCCCTCGAAGCCATCAGTGGGGTCTTCTGTGCTGGCGATGTTGTCCAGGTAATGCTGCAGTGTCAGTCGCTCGTAGGAAATCACATCACGTGAGGCCACGTTGCTTTTGTCCTGAATGTCGAGAAGTTTCCATGCCTGGAAATGTTTTGCGATGCCGATGTGTAGTCCCCACCGTCCTCGTTGAGAGAATCGTCCTACTCGGGCTGTGTGGGGTCTGTACTGTACCATGCAGCCGAAGACTCGAAGTAATTTTGTGCTGCCGTGTTTTCCTGTCCACAGCAGGTGCGGTGATGCGTTGTTGGGAAGTGACGTCGAGGACAGCAAATTGTGCAGGTGGACTGTATGCGTCATCGTGTCAGGCCAAAGCGTGTTGGGCAGTCTCATCCCCAGGAGCAGCTTGACGCACCCTTTTGACGCCTTTGTGCCGCCGTGGAGTAATTGCAGTCCAACAGTTGCTGTTTGGCCAAGGTACTTGGCCACCCTCTCTCCAGCTGCTACCTGCTCTTTATTAGGGCATTGGACAGCCCTAGCCAGCTGCCCGGTAGCAAAGGCTGCATCCGGCATTGAGTGAATGGCCGCATACATGAGGCTGCCCACCAAGGAGTGAAAACGGCGCCTCTCCTCTTCACCAACACTTTCCTCCACTGGTCCTTTCACACACTTGAACCCTGAGGGAAGAGGAGTAGCCACATGACCTTTACTCTTCCCAAAGTTTGCAGCCAATGCCTCCAAGTACTTCTTTTGATGCACTCGGATCCACCGCTTCTCCACATCTCGCTCAATGTGAAGCCCAAGGTAGTAGTTGACGTCACCAAGGGTCTTGCACTTGAACTTGTCTTGAAGCTTCAGCATCACCTCCTTTACAAGGTCAGAGGAGCGTGAGAATATGAGGATGTCATCCACATAAACCACCATAAACCTCCTCTGCTCCCCCTCGCCAAGCATGAACAAGGATTGATCGACCGTTTGAGGGAGTGAAGCCGATCGCCTCCAAGACTTCCCGCAGCTTGATGTACCATTGCCTAGGGGCTTGCTTGAGGCCATAGAGTGCTTTCTTCAGCTTCCACACTCTGCCACTCCCATCATTGTACCCCTCTGGCTGCTCCATATAAGTATCTTCCTCCAAAACTCCGTTGAGAAAGGCCGTTACAATCTCCATTCGCTTAACCACCCATCCTTTGATGGCCGCCGCGGCGACGAGAGTTCGAAGGGTTGTACCCTTAACCACAGGGGCATATACTTCATTGTAGTCCTTCTTCTCTTGATCTTGGTATCCCTTGGCTAGAAGTCTACTCTTGTAGCGCTCGATGTTGCTGTCGGCGTCGGTCTTGCGCTTGAAGATCCACTTGGAAGAGATCGCCTTCCGCCCCAGAGGTAGATTCACCAAGTCAAATGTGTCATTCTCTATGATGCTCCTTATTTCTTCATCTGAGACCTTCTTCCAATCCTTCCTATTGGGGCCCTCCCAAGCCTCCTTGGAATTTGTAGGCTCCCCCTGCATCTCGACCGGAGAGAAGAAGGCAAAAGCGCACTCCTCGCTTTCATCTTCTGCATCATCGCCTAGCATGAGAGCCGAACCGGTCAAGGTTGAGTTGGCTGGTCCTCCAAGCCGTTCATAGCTCAATCTTTTGGGGGGCTGAGACTTCCTTCTCCCCCTTCCTTCCTCCTCTGCTGCAGGGACTTGGATGCTCTCATGGCGTTGCTGCAATCTGGTCGGTTCCCGCGAGCACTTGTAGCACGAGGCGGAAGTGACGGTGCACGCTCATCACCTTGCTACACCTCCTCCTCCTCTTCTCCCCCATTCATTTGAGGAGATTGCCTTGTGATTGTGCTGCTAATACTTAGCTCCAAGAGCAGCTCCACATGCTCCAAGCCGGTACTCTTCACCTCTCCAAGCCGCACACCAATCTTCGCTTGGTTCTCCGCCTTCCACTCCTTGTACGATAAGTTCTCCATGAACTTGCAATCTCTGCTCACCAAGAACTTCTTGGTAAATGGGTCCCAAAGAAGCCATCCCTTGCTGTTTTGAGCCATGCCCAGGTGCACGGCCTATGTTGTCTTGGCATCAAGCTTGTTGTGCCAAAGTTTCTTAGGCACTAGTGCCATGCACATGCACCCGAACACCCGAAGCATATCCACCTTCGGCTTCCTTCCAATCCACTCCACATAGGGCACCCATTTGTCTTCTCCCACATGAGTCAAGGCTCTGTTCTTGGCCACACAAGCATGCCGCACCGCATCCGGCCAAAAGTAATTGGGAAGACCGGCTTCAATGAGAAGTCCGATTCACACGCTCGGCGATGCCGTTCATTGCAGGAGAGTAGTGCATGGTAAGAGAGTGT